ATCGCACACACCACCGGTATCATGAGGATGAAGTGAGAGGGATACGGCGTGGCCACAATAATTCCCAGAGCAGTGTTTCCAGAGTGCTCCGGCTGTCACTGCATCACGGGGCTTTCAGATGCGCTTTGGCGGCGCGTCTGCAACGCACTGCCATCCGTTATTCAGAAGCTACTGGAGCAATGCACTTTTAAATCGTCTAGATTGAAAACGAATTTCTTGAAAAAGATTTTCTTGTTTAGTTTGTCCTTCCTCGGCATGGTTGGCTTCGTACAGTGCGAAAGAAGCTCTACATACATACAAACATACGCACAAATGAGGCACTCGTATGCAAACCCTTGGAAAACGTGGTCGGGTGTTTTCACAGCTCTACATTTGCAAGGTTGTGCAGCGCAAGGGCAATAGGCTAATGTGTGAGCAGGAGGTGACGGTGGCAGCACACAGGGTCACACCCGTCACTGTAATTGTTTCGAGCAAGAGACTGATTTGAAATTATTCCATTTAATTTGACACACGTATTATTTATAGTATACCATGCAGCCCAGGGCCAAATCTGTTTTCAGGCTGTAGATGTGAATGATGTGTGTGTGCTGTTCAACAAAATTTTTTTTATATACATTAACATTCTGTGGAGATCGGGGGAGTTTCATTTTAAATTGGTAAGAAATATAATACATTCCACATTTGACTTTACAAAAAATACTTTTGTTTTTTATTGTACCCTATATTCAGATTAATAATAATTTACATGTATTTGTAAGGTGCCTTCCACTAATGTCTGAGGGTGCCTTCTAAGAATAAGGTTAAGGAAAGGCCAAGAGAGAAGAGGCGCTACATAGAACAAACAGAATTAAGAAGATGTGGTTTTTCGACGCGACTTAAAAGTATCCACATTGATAATTGTTGTTTTACCCTTTTATCTGGCAACAAAACAGCACCTTTTTTACAAGGAGTCATGTTTGCATAGACCACAATACCTGCAGTCATAATTATCAGAGTTATGTTTTTTGTTTGCATTATGACTGCAGGTTTTGTGGTCTATGCAAACATGACTCCTTGTAAAAAAGGTGCCAGTTTTGTTGCCAGATAAAAGGGTAAAAAAAAAATTATCATATTTTTTACTGGCAAATGAGGTTCCAATGGAGTATCCACATTACCGTTTAAACGAATTTCCAAATGTAGGGAATTCCACAACCGAGGCACAGACACCGCAAATGCCCGCTCACCCCAGGAAACGCAGCCGGGATCGAGGTATGCAAAGGGTGAAGTCTGCAGATCTTAACGACCTTGAGGGGGTGTACGGATGAATTAGCTCGTGAATATATGATGGTGTCAGCCCATGGAAGGCTTTAAAAACTTGTAGAAGGCTCTTAAACTCTACTCGTTTCAAGACCGGTAGCAAGTGTGATGATAATTCACTGGTCAACACACTTTTTCTGGCATAAGGTATTCCAACAGTTTTAAGGTAATTTTGGGGTGCTGATTCCAAATCTGGAATTAGTTTTTGTCTATCACATCAGGTTTTTTGAGATATCAAATATTGCATTTTCAATAAAAACTGCAGAAGAAAAATATTAAATAAATGTGGATATCTACATTAAATGATATTATAAACACACTATCCTAAAAATACAGCACCATATTTTAACACTAAAGCAGTCACTGACTCGCAACAACTTGCAATCATAAGTGACAGAGTTAATTTCGGGTAAAATCAATGAAAATGGGGTATGCCGATAGCATAAAAATGAGATGTGATAGAGCAAATCTGAGATCAGATTTGGAATCAGCACCATGAAATTAGTCTAAAACAGCTGCAAAAGTCCAGGCCAGAAAAAAATGATTTTTTTTGTTGACCAGTGATAAGAGAACGGGAGAAGAAATGTGGTCACGTAATGGGATTCGGGTGAACACCCCAACTGCTGCATTCTGTACAATTTGTAGTCTACCAAGGACTTTATTGGAGCCACAGCTTCGTGTGTACGTACACAACCCTTTTGCTTTTAAAAACAGCAGATGCAAATTAGGGTGTAAATGAAAGTGTGGGATCAACATCGGTTGCCCTATGATGAGACTGGACCCTGCCATGGAAATATAAAATTTCCACCATGGGTCCAGGGTGAGCCACAGAGATGAGCCATGCCATTGGTAATTCGAACGGGAAGAAAATGGCTTTCAGTTTTTATAGTTTCAAGTTATAATAGTGCCAGTCATCATATTCATGATCATCAGCATCGATATTGTCATAATCGTCATCAGATACCCACAGGGTTACTTGAGACCAAACAAACTCGATCGCTTCAGTAAATTTCCCTTCATAACAAGATTCGCACTGCAAGGTCGCTCCAAAAGATAAATCTAATGTATTAAATTCATTCTAACGAGATCTCTCCACCTTAGGGAAGGCTTACTCCACGTTCTATTCTCCTCAGCTCGCTGACTAATGTGACCTTGCGGGTTCCTCCTGTTTGGCATTCTGCAAGCGTAACCATCGTAACAAACTTTCCCCTCCTGAATTATTACACTAAGTGCTGTCTGCTTGGATCTATGACTGTGCCTATCATTGGATAAATCGGGTCAGCTGTTCATCACCGCTAAAAATACCGCTCGTATGGAATACAAACTCTTTATTTGTTTCCTCATTACAATATTTTCTGAGCACCATAGTCATTATAAGAAGCAGTGAAAAGTATAATTCGCAATAGATTTTTGGGTCAGATATCCGTGTAAGTAAAATGTGTGTCATGCACCCTCATCCACCCGACAGCCAATTAATTAAGTAGCCATGGGACCCATGCTGAACAACGAAAATTGATTAGGGCAAATTATTTCAAGAGCCTAATAAAGACAGCTGGAATGTATGTGTGTTGAACAATCTTTCGCCATAGTACGTAGCCAACCGTGCTTGTTGGAGGTGCGGGGGAAGGACAACGCACTAAACATGAAAAGCAGTTTGGAAAGAAATTAGTTTTTGATCTAGATTATTAAAAAAGTGCGTAGCTCCAGTGGCTTCGTAATATCGGAAGGAAGAGCGTTCCAGACGGCAGCAGAAGCGCATCTGAAGGCGAGTGACCATCTTTGTTCGATGGCTAGCCAACAGCTGCTGCTGCTGCTGCGAGGATGACTGGAGTTCGCATGATGGTTTATGCTCCTTGACGAGATCACCAAGGTGTTGTGGTCCATATGTGGCAATGTTGGGCTTGACAACTTAATTGGGAAACACATCATTTGTTCGTGTAAACCCAGGGAAATGAATTAATGCGGACCAGGGTGAAATAACGAGGCAAGTTGGAGCAGGTTCGACCGCTGTTGGAAAACTGAACTTGATAATGAAAAGCAACGGCCCAGTGTGGCCAGGGGCCGGCCCTAGGAGTGTGCGAGGGTTGGGGGGGGGAAATCTTGAGGAGGAGGCACCGCCGCTATCTCTAACAGGTGGAGTTATATTTCGATGTAAAACTTTCGTGACTGCAGGTGTAGTTATGTTCACGCCTATGGACGATGTCTCGGGAGAATTGACGCCGACGAAAAAGACGGAACGCAAAAAAACAAACTGAAGAGGGTGCACAGAGAATTTGGGACCCGGCGCATGCGTGGAATTGCGTCGAGGGACAGAAAGAGGGAGGAACGAATCGGAGGTCGGTCTGCGTGAGATGGTGGAATGGCAGCCGGAAGGAAGAAGGAACGCGCCCAGTGCCGGATTAAGCTAGTGCGGGGCCTGTCGCGTATGTTATAAAGGGGCCCTAAATTAAAAAAACACAAATATTAAAACACACACATTTTTTTACTTGCCTAGTAAGTTAATTGTATTTTTTACTTGCTATACAGTGAGATCATACGACAAATCGATAGCCTTATAAAAGTTGAAGCCAGAATGACCGAACCGGAATTGATAGTTTGAAAGCATTTGGCGCGGGGCCCTTGAAATTGCGGGGCCCGTAGCTACATGTGTCGCTACTTTTGCTACGAGGATAACCTGGCACTGAACGCGCCCGAGAGGATTGCCACCGCCGAGATGGTTGGATGAAATCAGCTCGTGCGCAGGAGCTTTATGGATTCTTGCACTATGTGAGGAATAGCGATGACTTTATCCAGCAGTGGATAGTTCGTGGCTGTTGTTGGTGATGATGACGAAGTATACTGAAGCTTTTTGACATGTTTTCATCGCGCAATAGCAAACTATCCAATCATTTAAACGAACGGTTAATACTTATCTTGAATGTACACATCCAGCTGTTTGGTGCTTTGGTTGAAGATTGCGCGTTCAAATTTTGTACACAGGTCAGCCGAGCTCATCACCCCGATGGGGTTGATAAAATCAGTGACACGTTGTGGGACATTGGAAGTGGTTATGCTACGGGGAAGCTACACTTTGATATGGGGATGTGACATTTTAAGCAATGGCCCAGAGCCACCGACAGAAAAGAAAACCCACCACACAATTTCTTATTTGAGCAGGGATACACATCTTAACCTATTGTGCGATTAATGTGATGATTTCATTCTTCAGTGGGTTTTGTTCCCCTACTTGCCCAGGGATAGACTAGTTCGTCTGTGTCCTTTCCACTGAGCCAGTTAGAAATAAGCTCGTTAGTAATGACAATTGACTCCTCAATTCCCACTGATGGCTTAGGACATTTTACAGCGAATTAGTTACTGCAGAAATTGCAGAAAGCCATTCATTGTCTGCTGTAAAGTGGGCACCAAGGGCAACATCACGTCAGCTTGAGGTAAAATGAGTATTATTCCAGTATCACAGCCTAAAATAGAAAATATATTACAATAATGCAACCAGTCAATTCTAATTATAAAATATATATACACTTATGGGGTTGAACATGATGCATCCGGCATCGGTGTATGATTTTATGTTTGGTGTTTTTGTTGTTTTCATGTTGCGGGGGTTTTGATTGAAACAAACTAATAATGAGTGCAGGAACATTGCTTTTCATCACCTTCGGTGGGTGCCGCAAGCTGTGAATTTTTAATTGCGCGTGCCGCTCCAGATCTGGACCGGTTCCCATCGGAGGAGCGGGGCCCACTGCGCGTGCGGCTGCAGAACAGCCTGGTGCTGCTGTGCAACCCCCCGCCCCACTACCCAGGTGAGTTGTTGTGGTCACTTCCCGGCGGCGGATGTGAGATGGCCACTCGCTGTGCTATTCGCGTGGGATTGATGGTGGTGGTAACAACGGTGCGCGTCTTTGCAATTGCTTGCTGTGTGGTTGGTGGCTACACGCGCGTGGCCTGTTGTAATCCAGCAAGTTCAAGTTCAAGTTCATTTATTAGGTATAGCCCTGTGAGCCATTCGGCTTTTGAATCGGGTGCAACCGCAACAAACAAAAAAAACAAAAACATGAACAAGAAAACATCTTAAAGTAACTATGTGCAAACAGAAAATCCAAGAAAAGACAGCAAAATATTGCAGTAAAAGCACCGTACACCAACACTGTGTGTAAAAATCCCAGTGGGATGCAAGTCAAACAACAACAACCACAAGACAATAGCACTGTGGAGGCAGCGAGGGTTGCTGGATCGCCGCACAAATGTTGTGATACTCCATTCCCGCGCCTCCGATTGGCACGGTTAACTGCGTATGGTGCGAAGGAAGTTCAACATACATACTCGTACAGATGCCAAACCCTGGCTCTCCAGGAGAAGGCGACATGGCAAGTGGACTAATTGCCATTCTCCTACTACCTCAGAATCAGAATAATTATACTGGAGGAATGCGATGAGCTATAAAGCTCTTTTGTCACTGATGTCCAGTTGGTTTCACAGATGTCCATCTCGGAGTGTTGCTACCCTTGCGCACGTGGGTTTTCTCCGGGCGCTCCAGTTTCCACCCACTTGTATAAACACTCATCGTTCATTGGCCGAAACTATCTTCAGATAAAAGCCTAACGCACCGAACCCTCTTGTAAAAGAGTCCGAATACTCATTGTGGCTTCGCTGGATAGATCTGTACATAAAATGCGTAACTCATAAATACGTAACTAAAATAAGTAATTGCTCACGCCACTACTGCTGGAATGGCCTCCGCTAGAGGAAGATCGAGGGAGCCCCTCCAGCGAGGGTATTTGGCCAACTCTCCCATGCTTATCGAGCACTTCGGTAGAGGTTGAAGTACCCACACTTTACCCCAGCTCACGCTGCCTGCTAATCGACTGATTCTACGTATAGCAGTGTCTCGGCTGTTAAACCCACTGCTACAATAACAGAGACGCATGATACATTTTTAATGGTGATACAAAACGGCAATACAGAACGTGGGCATCTCCTCGGCAGCCTTGGCCCAAAATGAATCGCGAGTGCGTGGTGTAAATATCTCGCGGGAGGAAAAAGCGGCCAGGAGTATTGCTGAACATATCCCTGCAGTAGGTGCTCAATAACAGCAGCACTTAGTTCTGTGGCCTATCAGGTTAAACCTGGGTCTTTCCCTTGTGCAGGATTTTAAAGATATTATGTAGGTTCTTTAAGCCATGAAGATTAGCAAAAATCTAAAACATACAACTGATCTCACCGATGATTGTCTCGAACCCCATTTATCGTGAGCACTTCCGGTTTTGACAACCACACATGAATGTACTCCCACTATCAGTCATGATATAGGGCTCCAAAATAAATTCCAGACCCTTCCACTTGGTCCGAAGTTTCACCAGGGCTGGCCTCGTAATAAATTCTGGCTACATTCTGAGACGCACTGGGAAGCCTCGTCTCGCGCCCTGCCCCATGGAGAATCGCTCACTGTCACCTGCTGTTGTTCGAATCGCGGCTTGTTGTTGAAGGTCGAGACTTGCGACAAGTTCAGTTAATATGCTTTGGAATCCACGTATCCTCAGAGAGCGTCATGTCGGAACAATATTGAACGTTTTTAAGTGTTCCCTGACACACGTGACAAATGGGTTATTGTACCCTGCACTTTTCAACGACGTATACTGGACTTTCCCAATTTGATCACGAGTGCCACATCTGTCCACCTCTGAGAGCCACTTGTGTTGATTGTGGTGAGAGTTCGGCTTCTGTTATTCACACGTCTGCCAGTAGGGGGGCGGTGATTGCTATGGATATCCCAATTGTGTGATATCCAAATTGAGTGATTTCCCAATTGAGTAATTTGCGGGTAATTTTCCAAAGTGCTAAATTTGGACCCTGATGCCGGCACGCATTCGCCGACTCTTTGCGATTGGCGCACCCACTGCGAAGCGGACGGCTCGTCATATCACAGCGGTTATTACACCCTGCGGTAATAAGCAGGGCGGCTGCACTCTGCTTTTTTCCAACTGCGAACCTTTGCAACAAAAGTGGGGAAACGTGCTTCCACTGGGCCGTGTCGCAGGCCTCATAACGTGTTCATGAGGATTTGGGTGAAACTCCCCCCCCCCCCCCCCCCACGGCGGGATCCTTCTAGAGTATCAACACCAACGCACAGCTCATGCTCTTGCTGAACAAATAAACGAAGCAAAAAATGGTAAAATGAGTAGTTGGAGAGAAAAATCCCCCATCCGGTGGTGGGGATTCTACATGCCTACAGTCGCGACGAGTTATTCCGTGGAACAGCGACTGTTGCGTAACCAAGAAAAACCTGTGGAAAAATAAAGAAATCTAATTAACACTTGACCCGCAATAGCAATCTAAGTTGAGCGAGCCAAACTATAGAATTAAATTGGTCATGTTACATTGCTTTTATTTCAGGCAGCGAACAGTACAGCTACAGGAAACAAAGTATACTTCCCTCCCCCCTTTGTTGCACTAGGATTGACATAAATGTGCTTTTTCGTCACAGCTGCCAATGATCAAAAAAATTCAATAATTTTGCAAGGAAATAGCTGGATAAGAGAGATATGGAGGTGGCCAATAGCTGCAGTGTGATATCCTTGGCCAAGTTGACTGGGCGTCGTCTGCCGCATTAAATGCACACCACGCAATAATCTCTTGACAGTGGTCGTTAAAACGGGGGGGCGGGGAGAGGGGTATCACACGAAATGACCTGTGTAAGAGTCTGACCACCAGCCAAATTTATTTCCCTACCTCGCCTGGGAAAAGAGGTTTTGGTATTAAAACAGAGTCTGTAGGGACCTCATACATTTGCAGCAGCAGTAGCAAGCGGCTGGTCTCTGTCGACTCGAGGATTTATATTGGGTCATTGTGTATAAATTTGATTCAGGAGACTACGAGGCATGGTTGCAAATGGCTCTTTCTTTACAAACGCTGGGTTTTTGTGCCAACTAGGGCGGCACGTGTGGATTATACGAGTCTTATCTGTCCCCCCCTGCGTCCAATCCTCCGGTCGTGTTTTTGTGCCGAGATGCACCGCTTGGAGTTGTGAATAACAAAGTGACCGACCTCGCACACAGTAATCTCTCTAATCCTCAGACAGCAAAATTTACGTTTTCATTCTTTAGAGGATTTTGTTGTGAGCTTAATGCAAATTAAAGTTGGCAGGATTCTAGCAATCGCAATATAATTGTGTCTTCGTGTGAGTTATTCAAAGGTGACTGGTAGATAGATGTGTGAGTGAGTGTCTCAGTAAGTAGGTCTTTGGGTGTGAAAGGTAGGTAAGCAGATTTGTGGGTGTATGGCTGTTTGGATAATGGGTAGGTAGGGCAGTGAATGGGTAGTTATATTTATTCAGTTAGGTAGGTAGGCAGTTGGGTATTTGAACGGGAGGATAGGTATATAGGTAGGTCAATGATGGAGGTCGTGAATAGATAATTGGGTGCAGTAGTTAGACAAACAGATAGCTAGGTGGGTGGTTGAGTGTTTGGATGGGTAGGTAAGTAGATATGTGGGAAGGCATATTGCCTGCTTATTTATTTTGTTATGTAGGTAGGTTTGCCAGTGAGTGGGTAGTTACATGTGTATACAGGCAGGTAGGTGGGTGGATGGGTGTTTTTACGTGTGTCAGTTGGTATATATTTGGGTATTGGTATGGGTGTGTTTCTGGTTAACTAGCTAGGTCCACTGGTAGATGGCTCCGTGGGAAGCTCTTCAGCGATATAGTTGCCCATTGAGACAGCACATCGCTTGCGAGGCATGGCGGTGTATTGTACTCAACCTGTAGAGAATTGTGAACAGGAAACACTGAAAAATGCTAAGTTACAAATGTTATTATTTCAAAAGAGAAAAATGTCGCAAATAAGGACATGTAACATACATTAATGGATAATTCTTGTGACCAGGATTTGATATTAGTGTAATGTTAAGTATGTAGATGTACCAGGAATGGTCTATAATAAGGCTTTTGAGCTATGTGTGCTTGCCTTTCGAACCCTTGTTATGGTTAGGTGTGAATTAAATTCGGCCAAATCCACAGAAAGATTCGAAGCTTCTTCCTTTTGAAGATGACTTTGTGTTTGAATATAGAAGACTGCCTCTGACACACGGCACGGACATCTTTATGCGATTTACTTAAATTTTCTCCAGAGATAATAAAAAACGAATCTCATCGTGAAGAGCCGAGCTTTAGTGGTTGTGGGTAAAAGCCGTTTATCATCGTATGCCTTTGCAATAAACCATTTATGGAGGAGTCGCAGTGTAAGCGGTGCACTGTGTGAGAGTTCCATAACATAAACAGGTGGTTACATTTGTCACCCGTCTTTTGCGTGCAAATTTAGTCACGTGATTTATTTTCACATGGCTATGCATTTATACAGTATCTTAATTTCATTTTGATCCCCATCTGTAAAACTGCAATTGACAAAAGTGCCCACAATTTTTTGGATAAAAATGAATAGAGCAGTTTTAAATGTGCAAATAATACCATTTATTTAACCTGTTAAATTCTCACCGAGTCTCAAGGCTCTATTAAGATATTTTGCCAGTTTCATTCATGGGTGTATTTTTGTGGAATGTGGGAGGAAAATGAAATAGCGGAAGAAAACCCATGCATACAAAAAGATAACATTCTTAAGCTCCAGACAGATGGATTGAATCCATTGCTATACGAATATTTCCTGACCACCTCATAGATCGAGCCGAATGACACCTGCTATTTCCAGGCAGTCTACAATTCAATCACTAGCCAGGCTCAAATCCTGGCTAGTGATTGGACATTGAGAGTGATTCCATTGTACCTTTTCTACTTTGCAATTTTCTTGAATTAGGAGATTGTAGCCAAAGTTGGGCAGAGTGGAAGTTCTAGTTTTATCTTGTGACGGTGTCGTCACCACGGTACCTGTGCCAGGCCAGGTGCACTTTCATGCCACGTGAAGTGTCGAATGCTCGCTGGCAGGAGGTCACAGGACAGACCCAGGTACCATGGGTTGACTGAATGAGATGACTGGCAGATGCACCAGCTGTAGCCCCTACTGTGCTAACTTGCTGCATTTTAGCCATCCGGCGCGCCGCTCGGGTGGCCGTCTCCAACTGCCCAGTAGCGTCCTTCACGAGCCTCCTCGACAGAGGTCGATCTTGACACCGCTGGTACTAGTCTTTGGCAAGTCCTACATACACACTTACATACGTGTTGCGCCGCGGCTGTTGCAGACGTCGAGTACCAGTGGCTGCTCAACGAGTTCCCGGAGCTGGTGCCACAGGACGAGCGGCGCTTCGTGTCGCAGCAGACGGGCAACCTGTACATCGCGCGCGTCGAGGCCAGCGATGCCGGGCGCTACGCCTGCCTCGTGCGCAGCACGCTCGGCCGCCACAGCCCCAACGTCAACATCTTCAGCGCCTTCGCCCCCCTCGAGATCCGGCGTGACTGTGAGTTTTGGGGGGCGCCTCGCTCTTCTTGATGCGCGTTCGGGATGCGCTGCGAGTCTTCCGCTTAAGCCTGCGCGGTTCGGAGCGAAGGTTTTAAGCGGCCGCCCGTGACCCGAAGCGTGGTCGTCCTGGGTATGAGGCCACGTGTTCACCAAATGGTATTTCAATCTTTCGCTTCAATAGGGAAGGCAAATGCGAGCTGAGTTTTGTGCAGGAAATAGCCGTCCTGTTCCCGAGCGTTGGGCCAGACATGCAACTGGGCGTGTCCAGAAAGTTCCATACAGGTATTTGGTGATTCGCAGACGCGTGCAGGACCGACGACCAATGAGAAAGCCAAGTGCCATACAATAAGGGATTTGGAGACCAGATGAAATGCACCGCTTCATCTCCCGATGATGTCTCCAGTAATGCGTGGTGAAATCTTTCGAGATGATATGCTAATGCTCAATACGTGGATTAACCCCGCAAGTCCTCACTTGGGTTGCCGTGGAGTGAGCACGGTGGAATTGGCGCCTGTAATCCAGCACTCGTAGCACAACACATTAAGGTGGCAATACACCACATGGGGCATGGAGACATCGATAGACGTGCGAGCAGCTGCCTCCATTAGCTTTTTGATAGAGTGTGGTGGGTGGGGGGGTGTCGGCAATTCTATTTGCATTTCACCTCGAAATTTATAACCTTCTTGACCCCCACCCACCCCCCATGCCAGCTTGACCCCCCTAACTTCACACATGCTCACATTTTAAAAGCATCGGCGTGTTGATGGGGCAGTGGAGTCGCATTAGGTAGCTTGCTGCGCTTTGAACCCGGCGACCTGAATCTAATTACCGGCCAGCTGTGGCTACAATCGGTGACGAGTGAAATTTGAACCGATCCTGGGCAACTGCCTCAATAAACCCTCGTTGACAAGCACGGTGAAGTATGATCAAACGATGTCCACGACCGACGCTGCGTGGGAAGCCTTTCATCCAGCAGTGTATTGGGAAAGAACTGTAGATTTTAAAAACACGTTGTAAGTTCTCCCAAAAAGATCGATATTTCAAAGTATGTTACAACAATTGTGTCATGTTTTTTCTTAATGACAGGAGGTAGTTTACACAAATTTGAGTCGTTTTATCATGGTTACTCAGCACATGCCCAAATGCCTAAAAAACGAGCAGTGAGCTACACACAGCACCCACTCATCTGCTGGGAAATTGTCATTCTCAATCGATTTTTTTGCAAATTATTAATTGTGAAAATGTGCTCGTGTCTTTGTCACCAACTATTGAGGCAAAAACAACAGGCGCGATGTGCTTCGACCGTTCCCAGCGACTCGACACGCGAGCTCGTCGCAAACGAGCACGGGTCCATCTGACATCGTTCCCTCCTCTCGCTCTGCAGCCCCCATGACGAGCTTGCTGCCACGCATCGAGGTGAAGCCACCGGCGGAGACGGTGGTGCTCAAGGGAGACAACCTACGCCTCGAGTGCTTCGCTCTTGGGAAGTAAGTCTCTCTTGTATGCACGCATGTGCGTTGAACTTCTTTCGCACCGTACGTAGCTGACCGTGCTAATCAGAGGTGCGGCGGAGGGGGAAGGGTGTACGATTTCACGTCCATATTGGCCTTCCCAGCCCGTGGTATCGCTCTCCCACCTAGAATGGTGCACCCAGCGGGGCACTCGTGCCATGGTGACGTCGCCACCACTTGGTGGCGAGCGGCATTTGTTGTTGTTTTTGTTGTTGCTGTCCTGAGCGTCGCTCCAGTCTTACGTCTCCTTAAAGGATGACAGATTTTCTGGCATGGCCTTTTCTGTAATGCCACCGCAGCTATGGAATCCCTGATGGTGTCATTTTCCCTGGGGGGGGGGGTGTATTGCAATTTCAGAGGAGTTTAAAAACTCATCTTTTTTCAAACCATGTCCAATAATACTAAGTATATCTTAAGCATGCAACGATGTCACATTATACAGGAGTTGTTCCATGTGTACCCAAATTGTATTAAAGAACTCAACACATTCATCAATAACATTGCCCTGGGAAGAAGAAAAAAACGCTCACAGATGTTTTTGGTTGTCTTGGGAAACGTTTTGCGAGACCAAGTTCATGCGTGCTGCTGCCAAAGGTGCAGTCCTTTGTTCAATTGTGCTGTCTAATTCCATTGGCGTTTCTGGCCTTCGTTTACGTATGGATGTTGAACTTCTGTCGCACCGTACGTTGCCAACCGTGCTAATCGGAGGTGCCGAGGGAGCCATGTAAAGTTATAGATGATGTTGAAGTCTCTGCTAAAAGAAGCAGTGGGGGTAGGTGTTCATCTCCAATGGCAGCCCTGAATGTTCTCATTCGCATGGTGAGGGCCAGTGTCTCCCATAGGATGATGACCTTCCAAAGCCATGCTCGTTTATTCGAGCTCTGAAGTATGATTGGCCGAGTCGACCGGAATATGAACGCGGAAACAAAGTTCTCTAACCACTCCGTTATCCGGCCCGATCTCGGTCTACGTCCGTATTGTTACGATAAAGATCGCATCACGCCGTTGGGATTCTACTTTTGGGATCATTAGCCTCGGCATGCGGGGGATAGAGGCCGTTTCAATCAGTGCTTAATGAAATATTGGCGCCGGCTGAGCTGCAGTCGCCACTGATTAGAGGAAATAACGCGAGGAAACTAATTGAAGGAAATTAATAGAGAATGTGAGGTGTACGATGTCATCTGCGTTCAATTAGAGACACGTGGCCTGGGTTCCCGAGACCCCCCCCCCCCATCAATTAAAGCACGACACATGTAGCACGTGTAAGCCGACTCTTTTAAATTAGGCGGTAAGTTCAATAAATCCAAAGGCATGGCAAAAGCCCTGCGGAGGTTAAACATAGCACAACTCGCAAGAATGCTCTCCCTGCCTTTTTTAATCTGCACTTTGCCATCTGCCAGCATGCGAGGCTGGGGAATGGTGGCGTAATGGCGCACCACGCTCCAATTCAAATTACTGAACCTGTATTCCATTCCTACCCACGTACGACACAAATGGCAACTGGAAATCTTTAACCAGGCTTCAGGCCTCCCCTAGGTCCAACTTGGCCCATAAATTTAGTATGTTGGCCCTTTGCGGTTGATAATTAGGCATTTAAAGACGTAAAGGTGGGCCAGGTTAATGTGGTGCCATCCAAACATAGTGCACACTGCTGGCCTCCATAGGCGCTCGCCAATAGCACTTGCTCGGGCAGTCAATTAGCTTAATTGGGAATATTTGTCTATCTGTTAGAAACTAATACACGCTGAGATCTCGCACGGTTGCCTACGTACGGTGGGGAAGACGTTCAAAATAATCTCTTCACGTCTAGTGCCATGGATATGTTCGTTACGATTCAGTTCTAACCACCAAAGCACATACGGAGACTAAGTCACCATTTCGATGTTTGACATTCTTTGCTTATGCCCCAGCCTGTGATCACTTTGTACATTAACATAATGGGACGCGCAGTAAATGCCACGTTAATGGAAATATACGTGGCAGCTTTTGGCCAGTCGAGCACTGCAGACTGCGAATGTTAATTGCAAGGAGAGTTCAAGAACAGACGGTGTTCTGCGTAGTTCCCCTCTCAATTATAGTCGTCTCATTACAGCCGTAAGGCCACCTAAGGTCAACACTGAGTCTTAATCAACTTGTGTCTGTTGTGTTCATTGGAGATATGCAGTATAAAGGTCACACTGGAACAAGTGTGGTTATCGCAACATTCCTGAATGAGATCGTAGCTCCTCTGCCTGAGCTCCTGTGTTTTTTTTTTAACCCTCTGCCTTGTCACATCACGTCAACTTGATGAGGGGGTGCGCCGCTTGGCAGCATTGGGTTGCTCGGTCTCAGTGCTGCTGTCAGTCAACACATTCGCTCAAATGAAATGTTTCTAGAGCTGCTGGTGGTTTTGCATCATGCCCCAAAGCAGAGTACTTTTTGGACACTTTTATGTATGTTTTATTTCTTTACCTAGGGTTTTATGGGCCCATGCTACTTTCCTGTTATGATGGTTCTTCTTGTCATTTACAGATTCTATGATGGGGACACGGGCAGAATAACTATTCTCAACATTGTTACATTGTACACCGATGAGTGTGTGTGGGCAGCAGATATTGTTGTTCAGTTGGTAGATTAGCATCATCATTGTCACCATGATCATCATCGTGACCAATTAATATAATTATTATTGTCATGATCCTAATCACGAATTAAGTGTTATTTAAACCATCATTGTTGATCAGTCAATACAGCCATCATCAGTCATTGGATCATTACTGTCATCATCATCTCATTAATAAATATCATCAAAACAAGTAAGGATGATTGTCAATATTGTTACCACCATCATGATTATGCATAGAAATATCTTTATTTTTTAGTCAGGAATTGTTATGCAAACAACACATCATCAATATCACCACCGCTTACTTATGTAGTTATATAGCATTAGCAATGTAGCAGCATAGCGCTGGCTGCTGGCGGGGAAGGGGATCTGCGGCTTACAACAAGCCTGACAGCAGCAGGCCACGTGATACAGCAGAGGGGACATCTGGGGGACAGGTTACAGAAAGGGCACGTGGGGGAAGCCCGGGAATCTGCAGGTAGGTTCTAGAGAGGAGGTGTGGCCGGGACGGAGCGAGGCCACGCTGGGAGCATAAAAGGGGGCACCGAGCGAGAGCTCGGGGCTGTCTTATGGAGTGGGATTCCCGTCGTATTGTTTAAGATCGTCGCCATCGGCGCTGTCGTCTCGTCGCCATCGTCGCTGTCATCCTCACTCGACATTGCGCTGCTAGACGGTATCTCGGTTCAGCGCCGTCGGCGTTAGACGGCTAGTTGTGTATAGAATAGCAAACCACGTAGAGTTGTGTATAAACGAGCGACAGAAGAGTGTGTATCGTGCAAAGGGTGCTTGGTTTAATAAAATATGTGCCTCCACTACATTTACGCTACCTTCATCAACATCTCTATCACCACATCCCTGTGGATTTCTCTCATTTCCTCCTACTCATCCCTATTTATTTTCCATCCCTGCCTCTATGCATCTCTCCATTCACCCACTTTCTCTTTTTTTTCCTTCATTCTTTTATCCCTTTGCTCTTTACCTGACCACCCCCTCCACCTTCCACCATTACCTGCCACCCTTAACTCCCTAACCCTTCTCTCTCTCGCTTCCTCCTCTCCCCTCTCGTTCTCACAGCCCCGTGCCCAGCATCTCGTGGCAGCGCAAGGACGGGCGGCTGCCGGATCGCACGCGCCTCTCAGTGAGTGCCGCCGTGCTGGAGGTGGCGGACGTGACCCGCGAGGACGAGGGAGTCTACGTGTGCAACGCCACCAACGCTCTGGGCAGCGTTCTCTCCGAGGGGCGCATCACCGTACAAGGTGGGGTTAGCGACGGCGATGTCGTTGTCACCGGCATGGCGATGTCTTTGCCGGCGTGGTGATGTCGACGACATCGTCAATATTGGCATGATGTCATTGCCAGCGCGGCAATGCCATTGCCGGCGTAGTCATGTCATCATCACTGCAGCCGTCTGGAATGTTCTTACTTCCGATATTAGGACGCCACTATGCACTTGTAAATCTAGATTGAAAACTAATTTCTTTAGAACTGCTTTTTGTGTTTAGTTTGTTGTCCTTCCCCCGCAACTCCGGTTAGCACGGTTGGCTGCATACGGTGCAAAAGAAGTTCAATATACATACATACTGGTGATATGATGCGATTGCCAGAATGGTGATGTCATCATCACCGGCATGGTGATGTCATCACAGTCATTCCCTTTTTTTCCTGTGTGGTAATGATATTGTCGATGCAGTCATGTAATCGCCGCCGTGGCATTGTTGTAGTTTGTGGCGGCGGAGTCCTCAATGGTAGCGCAGTGATGTAATCGTTAGCGCGCCAATATCGTCATTAGCAGTGTGATGTGATCGCCATTGTCATTGCCGGCGCGGTGATACCATCACCAGAGCGGCGATTCTTCTGCCGTGTTATTGACACATGCTGCCCCACGGGCCGATATACTAAGCGTTTAATGACTCGCCGATGTGAACGTTGTACTGCATGTTTACCGGCACGAGGTCTGCCGTTTCTCTTTGCATTCTGATAGCTCCTTCAGGAACTGAATATGATTGTGTTTAGTTTAAATCTCAGTCGGGAAGCTCCCAGCGCCTGGAGCAAAATGACAGACACGCAGGACAGCGCACGGTACAACCAGAAAACGCAAGAGACAGCTACACGGCATAACCAAGACAACCTTTGCAGAAGGCGGTCAGTGATTCACCCCCATGGCAAGTCATGGGGGTGAATTATTTCAGGCAGCAATTTGATTCGAAAATAACAAAAAAAATCACGTTTTTATCACTTTATTTGCATTGTTTCTATGTTTGTTTTGTCTCCTTTAGTAAATAATCTATTCTCACACATGAATAAATATGGTGAGCATAAGAATTGGTCGAAATCAATTAATCGATTCGATGTGACACGCCTGCCATGTCCCACGAGTGGCGAGATTTTAACTCCCTTGCCTGGTATTCAGGAGGACGTGGGTTCGATCCCGACCCTGACGTCTTTATATTTGGAGTTTGCATGTCTCTCTCCCCGCAGTCGCGTGGATTTTTCCCCGGGTCCTCTGGTTTTTCTCTTCACATTTAGAAACGCGTGTTTAGAATATTTGGCTGCTATAAATTTCCATATGATCAGCCACTTCGTTGAGCTATCATTTGTGGCCAGGTCGCTTCTGAAAATAAATAACTATACAGCTCAGTGAGCCTTACCTGGGAAAATATAAAAGAGTAGTTGGCCTCAGCAAGTGCTTCTTAAGACACATTTTACATTAGAGAGTGAACCTCCACACTGGGCGAATGCTGCGGCAGTGATTTGCCATCGGTGCTAGGTATTAAAATGCTGTGAGTGCACGTGAGAATGTGCCAGGAAAGGTGCATAATGGAGGGGGGGAAGGAAGGTTGGGGATAGGAGTTGGGACGTTTGCAGGAGGGAATCTTACAGAGAGTGAGCATTGGAGTGGCACCCAGAGGTCACCAACCAAGTGGAAGAGCAAATGCCAGATGGGGGTGGGGGGGTGATGGTGATGTTGATACGTTGAGAGCGGTGCTTGCGGGGTTGATGTTGACCGCATAACGGTGAAGGGATTTTTTGCAGAAGGAAGTTGTGGACATTAGGTGGTGGCATAAATAGCTTTAGCCATCATGAGCTTTTCATTTTTGGTGACGACAAAAGGCCATTTGTCCGAAACATCACGTGTTGTATAGCTTTCCTTTTCAGGCAATGTTGTTGACAAATTCGAGGTTTGTTTTGTTGTTTGTGCTTTTGCACCACTGTCAACGCAGCAGCACCAATAATTATTATTAGTTTGCAATTTTTGGAATGTTGCTCGTAGAAACACCCAGGCAGGCACATGTGTTCGACATCACATGTAATGATATTTAATGTCAGTGTCTTCGTACAAAAAGTGAGCATTGTTTTGTGCTTATTTCTCTTTTGCAGTCCCGAGCAAGTAGCGAGTTCTTTCGTGAAATATCCACTGTCACACTTAATTCTATCAACCCCAGAGAGACGATGGCCTGAGGTTAAACCTTTCTCAGATTTGACATTTAAGCTTTCTCATTGTGAGCCGAGCACTGTTACAATGCGATCTAGCCTTCATGAAGCAAATAAACACATTCCTGCGGAGGGAGTTGGTAGGAACGTTGGGTTGCTCGGTCAATGGCCAGGGTCAACGGCGGTGTGGTGTTTTCCGCAAATATGGCCGACTGTGAGGGCGGGCACAAGCCGGCGTAAGTAGGTTAAACGTTGAGTTTTATAAGGGCACCACGGGGTGACCAGCCCCTCCCCACCCAGCCCCACCCCTCCCACCCCCACCCAGCCCCACCCTCCCCTCTCCACCCAGCCCCTCCCCACCCTCCCTTATCCACCCAGCCCCTCCCCACCCTCCCCTCTCCACCCAGCCCCACCCACACCCCTCCCATTTTTGGATGCACGATGGACGGATGGACACAATAATCCCCTGTGGGCTGGTGGAACCAGGTAGTTCCTACCAGTACTAGCAACAATGTGATTCTACTGATTACTTTAACAGAGACACTGGTGCCTTGTTTGTGTCTCCTCTTCCTACAGCTCGGCCAGAGTTTGTGTTTGGACTGGACAACATAATGGCAGATGTGGACCAGGACCTGAACTGGACATGCAAAGCCAAGGGGAGGCCTGCACCCACCTATCAGTGGCTCAAGAATGGGGAGCCAATCGCCCCTCTGGTATGAACACTTACTTAGTCACTCGCTCGCTCCAATCACCTGCGTACGTACGTACGTGTGTTGAACTTCTTTTGTACCGTACGTAGCCAACCGTGCTAATCAGAGGTGCGGGGAAAGGACAACAAACTAAATACAAAAAGCAGTTCTAAAACAATTACTTATACCCACCTACCAACTAACTCTCTCACCTGTTCACCTACCCACTCATCTACCCACTCACTTGCCCATCCATCAATCCACACACCTGGAAACCCACCCACCAACACATGCATTCACTACTCTTCCATATACACTTTCTCAATATTTTTGAAGGTGGGCACAATAGAAAATAACTTTGGTGGAAAACCAATTATATGATGTTCACTAAGAAGGAAACCCCTACAGTAGTGGTTTTGAACCGGGGGAGTACACACCCCCTGGGGCTGTGAGATTCCCTTTCTGGGGGTGCGAGACATGCCAGATTTTTTTAGAAGGTAAATAATCGAAAACACAAATTAAGCACGAGCATGTAAGTACAACTACTTTGTTTCATAAAACCTATGTATTTATTAACATTATACATTTGTTTACGATTGACAACCAAAGGTATACAGGCTGCAGTAAAGGTTTAGAACCACTGACCTACAGCATGGCGACATCCTTGGCAATTGCTCACACATTTGAGTGGGCTCAATGGCACAACCGCTGTAATCCCCCAACCTGATGCACTGCAAGGTAATCATACGTCAATGCAGCGGTGTTGGGTTCAACAGGTGGGTTTGTGAACCCACCTGTTTAGACTCTGATCATTGTCATCTTTTATGCGTGGATTGCCTCCTGATATCCTGGTTACCTCCCAAAACAAAGAAAAACTTTTCTGGATTGAATTGGCCAAACATCACAATGCAGAACCATCCTGACTCTCACTTAAGGCTTTTCTAGATATATAAATTACTTAATTTTCATTCTAGATTAAATTTGCATTATTATTGTAGTGACATCGTAGGATGTCAACGTGCTGGGTGCAGTGCCGGCCCTAGAGAGGCACGGCGTGCGGTGTAGCGACATCGCGGACACCACGATGGTGTGGGTGTCGTACCGGCCCTAGAGGGGCCCGTGAGCACTGATTGATAGCACTGATTGCATCACGCTTTGCGTGCAGTGCCAACCCTACAGGACAGGGTGTGTGGATGCCGGCCAAAGGATGAGGTTACTCGAGGCCATGGCAGTCTGGTTGACGCGGGAGGACACGTGACCAGTGAAGTCTACAAAGGGGCTCCAAGTGGCGGCTAGGGGTGGTCACGTGGTTGGTATCCAGATCCTTCCCGAGGATTCTGGAAGGTGGTCGTGGCCAAGGGCGGAGCCGGCCACGCCGCAGAGAATAAAAGCCGGGTCCCGAGAGGGACCATGGTTGTTGTTCATCCTGGAAGAAACCTTCGTCTACGTTGTCTGTTCAACGAGTCTCCAACACGTGGACCCGGGCCGAAGCTGTTGGTCCCGGTCCGTAGTAGCAGTTACGTTGTAACTAGTGTAGTTAGCCTGGTGGTAACTAGTGTAGTAACTAGTGTAGTTAGCCTGGTGGTCACCACCATAGGTTGTCATTTTGTTAAGGGGAAAGTTACCCCGTGTGTTGGAGTTAAATAAATGTTTTGCCTCCAACGTCTGCGGCTCAGTTGAACCCACTACATCATTATGAATGAACTCGTTTGTTTAATCGCATCCAGTGCTGTTTAATCCATGCACGAATTAAATGACGTATAGTAGAGAGAGAAAAAAAGGGATTCACTGGAATTTTAACATTTCTTACACTGGATAAAAGTTGAAATAACTTTGCACTCAAATCCACTTGTGTTCCTGAGCCAGTGGGTATAGTTTATTTATACGGTGGTCACTGACACGCTTCCAACGCGTGCATTAGAACACCACTCCTTGAGTGTCCAGCACTCAAGGAACTCGGCTAATGCGCGTCCATTTTTAGAGCAGGATCGCGAAAATTTGCTAGCTATATAAGCCGCCAACTTCGCTGAGCTGACAACAAGCTCTCGTGGCGGTGAGCAGGGTGCTTTTTAGCACGGAGGAGGATTGCCACCCCCCCCTCGGGGAGGTCACGTGGGTGAGGGGGAGGCATCCCCCTCCACCTCTTCCCCCCTCTGTTAACTAAAAACTAAACATCTCTATCATAGAGACATCCTTTGTGTTTAGTTGTTTTTGTCCTTCCCCCGCACCTTAGCTACATACACGTAAGTAGGGGAGAGGCGAGGGGGGAGGGCTCCTGTGCCTCAAAATATATATTATGTCACTGCAAATGCAAAATAAATGAATACATTAGCCGAGTTCTCGGAGTACTGGGCACTGAAATGGTGTTCTAATGTCTATATTTGGTACAATGAACTTTGTTGACTTTTCTCATCATGGTACGTATGTTACGTCAACTACACAAAAAACAATCGACTCATAATCAACCCCCTATTGAGAGCTGGGTTCATGACCTTTAGATTAATTACTAATGGAGCTGTCAAACTGCAACGCACCCAGCTGGAGACAATGATTGCCAAACCTGAAATCGCTTCGCTACCATCATCAATATTTACCCTGGGCTTTTGCACCACTATGAGCGCGATGGCTTTAGCGCTCTCTGCGTAAAGATAAAACCGGGTGCTTTTCTCTCCTCCGTTTATTCCTCAGGCGGGCAAGGTGTTGGTGGCCGAAGGGGAGCTGAACATCGTGAACCTGAGCGTCGGCGACTCGGGGATGTACCAGTGTGTCGCCGAGAATAAACACGGCATCATCTACTCCAACGCGGAGCTCAGGGTGCTGGGTGAGTCCCCCCCCCCCTGCCCCCCACCTCTCCCGCCCCCCAGTCTCGGTCAGGATGCAGCGTTGAGACCGCATCGTGGCCCCGGCGTTCATTGTGACGTGACCGTCACTCGGCACAGCGCAGGCCCATAGTCCTGCAACCTCAAATTCAGATCGGCCCATTGTGGAGGCTTTAACACGTTGCACCGGGGAAAGATGAAATTATCTAAAAACAGGTAATTATTGTACAATAAGCTGTCCGCTGATTCCATTTGTGGTGTGTTAACACTAACGCGCACATTAGTTCAGATGTATATAGCCATGACGCTTGAGGTGTGGAGCCAAGCTCAATGCCACTCAAAATCTAGGCAGAAGAGGTGGAGCCTTGTAAAAATATGTGGGGCCTCTTAAGTTTCTCTTAAAAGTTGGTGTAGATTGAATGCTGTAAATGTGAAGCAGGACCCAAGTAAGTTGAGCTTCTTTCGCACCGTATGCAGCCAATCATGCTGATCGGAAGTGCGGGGGAAGGATAACAAAAAAGCACGCAAGACAGACTCACCTTGTGGGCAATGAGTTGGCCAGTAGATCGTTTTTGTATATAATTAAGGCAGTAAAGCAAGTAGGTTGTTGACCTCGCTGTTGACCAGCTTTTTTGCATTTCTTCACTTTTCTGTGTGGGTTTAGCGTAAATAAAATGTCAAATCTGGCCATGGGGCACTGTGATTAAAGAGCCCAACTTATAATCACAAGGTAATTTGTTCAAATCCGAAATCAACTCCTTATCATCTTCCCTGCTGGGTCACGGCAATGTGTATCCTTTTTTGGGAAGTCATTAGTTGTCATTCAATACAAACGCTAGACATTGTCATAGGAATGTGGAATTGCCACCACTGGCTTATGATCATCAAAGGAGACGAGCACCACCCATTGCTTGGAATGAAGAGACTGACTTTTTATATTATAACAGACAATCTTTATAGACAGGTGAGGTGGTTCGGGCACCTGGTAAGGATGGCCCCTGATGAACTCCACCGGGCATGTCTCACTGGGCGAAGACCCCGGGGCCGGTCCAAGACACTCTGCTGGTTGGGACGATGTCACTCGGCTGGCCTGGGAATGCCTGGGAATTCCCCAGGAAGAGCTAGAGTCTGTATATAGTAGTGTACAGTCGTGTAGTGTACAGTCGTGTAGTGTATAGTAGTGTAGTGTATAGTAGAGCTAAAGTCTGTCGCCCGGAAAAGGGAGTTTTGGACCGCCCTACTCAACACGCTGCTGCCGCGACCCTCACCAGGTCAAGCGGACTGAGGAACGAACAAACGAATGTACATAAATGAGTGATTAAAGCATTTGCAGCTTATGACAAAATCGCCCAGAAGTGCCTGATTCTGTCAGGTCAGATGTCAGAAGCTAAGTAGGCTTTGAGCCTGGCGAGTGCTCGATTGGGCGACCACTGTGTACAAAAAAAAACCACACAAGTGCTTAATCTTCTTCGTTCTTTCGGTAAAGTCACGTAGAAGGGAAGTAATAAAATAATAAAAATAAAACATAATAAAATAATTCTCACGACGTTTTGGCCACAACGCAAGCAGTCGTGTCTGAATGCTGTCGCCTCGACAGACCTGGTTTTCACCTGAGGACGGCTGCTTGCGTTGTGGCCGAAACGTCGTGAGAATTATTTTATTATGTTTTATTTTTATTATTTTATTACTTCCCTTCTACGTGACTTTACCGAAAGAACCACGAAGATGAATCCCTGCAGTCACACAAGTGCTGTGTATGTATTGTGGGCAGCAGAGCTTTGTAGTTCCCCCACCTTCGCCAACCAGCACTGACGGGGCGTGGCGAAGTACGGTCTCATAACCCTCACTGGCACTTGCCCGGCGGCGCGTTGGCAAGCCGGGCCTGCACAATGTTTTTTTTATTGGCAGAGATGTTTAATCGCTCGACGCTCCGTTTGGTTACAGCCTCGAAACCAGAGTTCGACCCCAATCCACTATCCCGCGTGGTTCAGAGCGCCTTGGGGGGCAAGGCCATTGTCCCGTGCCTGCCCCAGGCTGCCCCCAAGCCGAACATCACCTGGAGCCGTGGGACGGAGCTGTTGCACGTGCACAGCCGGTGAGTCTGCGCATGCCCTCGCTCGATCGAGGCTCGCGGCCGGACTTTCTCTGAGCTCGCAGCCTCTCGGGAAAGAAGGCCACCTCTTGACGACACCCCCACATGGGGTGGACTGTTGTCACAGCTATCACGCGACTAAACACTGGACATGATCTGTGAAACTACTGGACATCTGTGAAAAGAGCTTCATAGCTCATCTGGATTCCTCCAGTATAAATAAATGTCGTGATTCTGAAAATATTGTGATTCTGAAACATGCACTCGCTTTAGAACGCACTTTCAGTGTTTGTCAGTTGTTTTGCATTTTTGTGATGGTTGGATTTGTGAGTGCGTGGATGGGTATGAGTAATTGAGTGAGGTAGTAATTTAATTGATTAATGAGTGTATAAATAATTGAGAGTGTAGTGAGTGGATGTGTGTGTGTGTTAATAATTGAATGAGCGAGTGATTGAATTGTAGAGTGTGAGCAATTTAATTAATTCGTATGTCACTGAGTGAGACTATGAATGGGTGTGTAAATGAACTAATGAGGTTTTTGGGTTAGATCTCCTAAGTATAAATGTGTCGTAACCCTCCACCACCCGACGCAGCCAGTAAGGTTTGTCACATAAACAACGCACCAATTGGTTACTACTTCAGCCCACCAATGTGTTGGAGAGTACATCCACAACGTTTACAATTTGAGTACGAAGTTTTGCTGGTAATTACATCCAGCATCATCGGGCGATTTGCCAGAATATTCTGGCGTTTTGTTTATGTCAAAAACCTTACTGGCTGTGTCGGGTGGTGGAGGGCTACAACACATTTATACTTAGGCGATGTAACCCAAAAAACTTTATTATGAATAATATTGGTCGTGAAAGCCTACGTGTTAAACTGAGCGAATGAGTCTTGCCGGGAGCGCTTGTCTGAGTGAGTTACTGAGTGTAGGCGATTTAAATGAGCGAATGCACAACTGAGTGAAGCACGCCGATGAAACCCCCGTTAAAGTAGCGTCTTAATGACTTTAACAGTGACAGCAACGGGCATGTTGAGAGTCTACCCTCCAGCAGTGATATTCATCATGCTGGCCCTTTGCTGGAGACGAAGGCCGATGACAGATAGGGACCGTGTCGCCGTGTCCGTCAGGATGTCCGTGCTGGAAGACGGGAGTCTGGTGATCCCCGATCTGCGCAGAACGGACCAGGGCAACTACACGTGCTTCGCTGAAAACAAACTGGGCAAGGCCAATGCTACGTTCACCCTGCTCGTCAAAGGTGCCCCCCCACGCATCCCAGCTCTATGCTTCCCCTCACCCTTACCCAGGCCGATGCCACACAGCCATTGCGTGGTCCTACCTGTGGACCGTGCGTGTATGAGGAGTGTCCGTTTTCATGCACGGTGGTTCTATTCTCAATGCAGCTTTTTGATTGGTCAATCCACTGCTGGATGGGGGGGGAGGGGCTCGTGGGGGTTATTGGATCGTACTCTACCTCCGCTGGCCGGTGACGACGTCGGGCATTGACGTGAACCACAGTGCAACAATGGATTTTGCCGCACCGCGCCCTGCTGCCCACAATGTAGCATGGCCCCACAGCAGCCCACTGCGACCTGGCGTTGTGTGGCAGGCAACCATGCAAGCACTGCCCTGGTTCAAAATCCTGCATGGCTTCTGATATCCGGCGCATTCAGGATGATTTGCTCATAAGTGCCTTTTTTTCCATAAGTGCCATTTGTGTAACAATCTTAATATTCCAATTGACCTTATTTAGCATGTTTGTGGCAGGATTGCGTTTGCCACAATTGTTATGAATGCTACAACTAAGCTCTGTTATGCCTGAGGCTGTAAATACGGTCTATTTTCATATGTCTATGACAGGATTTGTTGGCGATCTTTTTATTTATTTATTTGTAAGCACTATTTATTGTGTCCTGTTTGCGGTATATTCCGGCATGGGTTTTGTGTAATTAGTTTGTTGTCGTTGCTCGTTTGGTTGTGCCTCCCCACCCTGTGGCGTCCGGGAACTGCCACCGCTGCCGATGGTCTTGGACTGTCAGTTTTAACAAGTAGCAGACTTTCGCGACCAATATCATTCATAATCAACGGTTTATGGGTTAGATAGGCGCAAGTATGAATGTGTGGTCTTCCTTGCAACAAAACTGCTTCGCTCAATCGGCCATTCCAGATAAAATAGTCTAACACGTCTTACATACAGTACATCAAAGACAGCCTGCCTGTTGACTTGCTTGCTGCTATTTTATTATTAGCTCGTGCGTGGTGTAGTTTCGGGGACATATCTATTCTGTGTACGAGCGAACACTGCGGTGTAACCATGCCTACCCCCGACAATCCTCCACCCCCCCCCCCCTCTCACCGCACACGCAGACGCGACCACGATCAAGCTGGCCCCGAAGGACACGCGCGTCACCGTGGGGGAGAACGCCACGCTGCTGTGCCGCGTGTCGCACGACCGCACACTCGACGTCGCCTTCCTGTGGCTCCACAACGGATACCCCCTCGACACCGTGTCGCCCGAGTCGCCCTTCCGCCGCATCTCAGCGGTGCGGACCTGTGGTCTGGGTGCATGTGTGGCGGGGAGCGGGTGGGGACGGCGGTTAGCGGCGCTGCGCTACGAACCCGGCGACCCGAGGTCCTTGAAGAGGCAGCTTTGCTTGTGATGTTTGTGTCTGGGTCTTTGGGGTGCTCTGGAACAGTCGCGGTTCGTGCACTGAACTGTGAGACCAGTATTTCGAGTCTGATTCCTTGCCACGGATAATATCAGTGGCAAGGGGTTCTGAACCTGCATTGTACATACAATAGGTCAATTAATCATTAAATGAGTATTAGGTGCGGTGTGTTTGCATCGGTACTGGGGAGACAAAGGCGTCCGGGCGTGATGCTGGCCACCCACACCCTCGTGTGCCGTGCCGGCCATCATAGGCACTCGCTGACAGCACTTGCCCCAAGCAACAGCCTGTATAGGCTGTAGAGGGGGCCTTTGTCTTTGTGTATATATGCATAATCGTGGGTAATAGTGGCCCAGTGGTTAGTACACTGGGTTATCAATCCAGCCACCTGAGTTGAATTGTTGTCCATGGCAAACATCATTTGGCAAGTCTTACCTGAATTGATGTCCAAAGTAAAAGTGTCTCAATTTTCAAAGGAGTTTGACATGACGCTCATTTCAATTTGCTTTCTTGAGCTGGTGGTAAAATGTCGACTTTTCTGTGGCAAGGGTAGTTTATAGGACAGCCACATATATTTAATATGCTGTGATCATTTGTTCTGTTCATATAGTGTAAATACACGCAGAGTATGACAAGTGATGGTGTGGCAGGAGTGCTCAAGTTTAGAAGGTAACGAGTTATAATCTTGATTGGGGAGATATCTTGGCCTATCATCTTCAGTGGATGACAAACTGATTATCACATGGTGAGGTTTAAAACCATTGTTTTCCTAATGGGGAGACTGGTCCTTGCTGTTAAACTGTGTCAATTCTAGCCTAGCTTTGGACCACGTGAACATGGAGGCACTTTACTCCATGACTTTGAAATATAAAAAATAGTGCTTTAATACCTCCATCGGTCTGTGTGAGTCACGAGTGAATGAACCTCGCACCATCGCCAACAGGGCTGTGAATTGTAGCCGAGAAAGAGTTTTGTGGCATTTGTGGGGCTGTACACGAATTCATTCTTTTTCCCTCTGCCTTTCCCTTAAAGGACAAGGACACGGGAGACATTCGGATAATACACGTGCTGCTTTACCACGCTGGAAACTACACCTGCCTGGCACACACTGCAGCTGACAGTGTGATGGCCCATGCAGTACTGCTCGTCAGAGGTGCGTACGGGAGCCTAACTTGGTCAGTCTCAGAGCTGCAAACTGTTTTGTTTTAGACTTTAAACGAGTGGGGGGGGGGGGGGAGGAGGAGGGTTTCAATTGGGACTATACATAGCGATCATCGCCCCCCCTACTGCCAAACTGATGCCCATTTTCAGGCCAAGTGCTGAGTGACATTTGTGCTGCGCAGGGACAGCTGCCACTGGAGGTGTCAGCTTTGAAAACTTTTTTTTAAAGCTGACATGCGAGGCAAGTCGCTTGTCGCGTGTGAAGCGCTCCGAGACACAGCAGCATGAAGTGGGGGGGGCGGGGGGGCACTCTCTCAAACGAATCCGTCTGGTTACGCGCATCTGTGAGAGAGCTTGTGGGGGAGCGGTGGTGTAGCGGTTAGCACACCGCGCTACGAACCCAGCGACCCGAGTTCGATTCCCGCTCACGCACAACAACGGTGACGATTACCTGAACCGGTTCTGGGCCTCCCCTAGCGCGACTCAGCCTCAAATGAGTACGTGGTGCAGTGTGTAAACATCGCCACTCGGGAGACAAAGGCGGCCGGGCGTGGTGCTGGCCACCCACCCCCTCGTGTACCCTGCTGGCCTTCATTGTTGCTCGCTAACAGCACTTGCCCTAACAGTATGTTACAGGCTATACGGGAGATCTTTGTCTTTGTTATATTGGTGCACGCTCTGTATCACAACCACTTTTAATCAGGTGTAATTCTAGTACCTCGCCACCAGTGGCCAATTGTACCCCTTTTTCCACTGGAATATGCGATCTGGGCCAACGCAGCGTCCTATGGATGTGGGCGACTTTCCACCTGGCGATCCCTTTCCCTTCTTGCTCCCCTTCACTGGAACAAACTCCCACTGCACATACAACAATCATGTTCACTGGCTTGCTTCTGTTCCTCCTTGAAAACAACCCCCATCTCTTCTCCCCTCGCCCATCTTACTGCTACTCCTTGCCCCAGCCCCCCAGATACGAGCAGGCCTACCCAAACCCCTACCCCAACCCCTACCCCAACCCCTACTCCAACCCCTATCACCATCCCTACCCCAACCCCTATCACTATCCCTACCCCTACCCCAACCCCTACCCCAACCCCTGTCCCTACCCCAACCCCTTTCACTGTTGCTACACCAACTCCTACCCAACCTCTACCCCTACCCCAAACCCTATCATTATGCCTACCCCTATTCCGACCCCAACCCCTATCACTACGGCAACCCCAACCTTTCCTGAACCCCTCCCACCAGTCCTCCTTACTGTCGCCATATCTCTACCACCAGTCTCTATTTTAACTTCCATCATCTTACGTGCAATTTTATAGTTTTTGCAAAGCGCCTCAGATTAAGGCGCTATATCAACTCATAGAAGATAAAATATCTCTGCCGAGCCGAACCAGAATCGAACCGTGAAACCTCCAGCCTCACAATAAGACATCGAGATCCGGCTTAGGGCCGAGCAAGGCCAGGGGCGGAGTGAACCATTTTCAACCATTCATTGCATCGGTCAGTCCACCTGAAGGTGTGCGTATGTTTGTTGAACGTCTTTCGCACCGTACGTAGCCTGTGACGCTGACCTCTGTTGTTGTTCGGGCCGCAGGGCCCCCCGGCCCGCCGGGCGGGGTGATCGCAGAGAACGTCACCACCAACACGGCGATGGTGGCGTGGAGCCCTGGCACGGACAACGACAGCCCAATCACGCGCTACGTCATCCAGGGCCGGCCCGTGGGCACCTTCAAGTGGAAAGACCTTGTCACAGGTACTGCCGCAGATGCCGCGTATGTACGTGCGTTCGTGCATGCGTGCGTGTGTGCGTGTGTGCGTGCGTGTGTGCGTGTGTGCGTGTGAGTGTGCGTGCGTGTGTGCGTGGGGAGCGGTGGCGCAGGGGTTAGCGTTACGCTGCGCCACGAACCCGGCCACCCGGGTTCATTTCCCGCCCTCGGCCAACACCAGTGACGATTATCTGAACTGGTCATGGGGCCCTCCCCTAGGTCGACTCGGCCTCAAATGGTGTGGTGTGTAAACATCACCACTAGGAAGACAAAGGCGGCCGGGCGTGCTGTTGGCCACCCACCCCCTCGTGTTGCCATGCCGCCCTTCACAGGTGCTCGCAAACCGCACTTGCCCCAACAGTCTGCTCAGCCTGTAAGGGGGATCTTTGTCTTTGTGCTTCTGTGTACAAGTCAGTGCATGCCTATTGTGCCAGTATGTGCACGTGTTAGTGTAAGCTGCAGAGCTGACCCCTCTGACTTCTACGTTTCATCAATCTGTCCCTCCGTCTGTTTTGTACCCCTCCGCCCCGCCGCCCCTGGGTATTTTGCGATCAGTTCCACAGGAGATCGAAGGAAACGTAGACACGGCGAGGGTGGAGGGTCTCCGGCCGTGGCTGGACTACGAGTTCCATGTCATCGCCATCAACACGCTTGGCTTCGGGGAGCCGAGCCAGCCCTCCCGCCCGGTCCGCACGCTGCCTGACGGTGAGCGTCTTCCCGGCGGCGACGCCGCTTGGCGGCAAGTGCCGTGCCCGCCGCCCCTTGTGGAGGAGGCTCGCGGTTCTCATCCGGCTTGCGGCGGCCCCGGTTGTTGACGCTGCTAGTGTATTGACCACAGAGTACGCGCCTTCTGCTTCACAGTGGACGTCAAGGAGAACCCCTGACGTCGTTCGTAACGAGTACATTTAGAAAGATCGCCCACAAGTTGGGATTACACGTAGCGATGAGTCTGCCTTACTGCCAGACTCATGGCCGATGGCAAAGCGGGTGATGAGTCGCCTACCTGTCAACAGGGACAGCGGCCATTGTGAGGGGGGGGTGCTCGGTTAAAATGCAAATAATTAAATACATCGGCATCTCAAGACGCTATGCAGAAACAGCGTGCCATGCGCATCCTCAATAGTAATACACAAATATGATGCATGTAGTCTGTTGAAAAAACAGTCAAGAGGCCGAAGCAAACAGGAATTTGCATACTCTTCGGTTCTTTCGGTAAAGTCACATAGTCACCTGATGACAGACGCTTGTGTTGCGCCCGAAATGTCGTGATTATTTTATTTTATACCTATGTGACTTTACCGAAAGAACCAATGTAAATTCCAATCATTAAGCTCTTTACATTTCTCTGTGTATACGCATGAATGTGTGTTTTCAAGTCTTTATTCCCAAATGAGGGACAGAGAGAGAGAATGAGGAAGGGAGACGAGAGCGAGTGCCACTAACGAGATCACCCTCTCTGTTCTCACTCCAGTACCGACCACTGCTCCGTTCGGCATCACCGGTGGTGGAGGGAGATACCGGGAGCTCACCATCACGTGGACCGTGAGTCCTACGGCCAAACACCCCCACGGCACATCGTGGTGCCCGGGTGGCTCAGGGAGGGGGGGGCGCTCTTAATGCCCATCTCAGAAACACAGAGTGACCGAAGCCGAGGTCCCTGGGTTCAAATCCAGGCCTTTCATTCGCCCATGGATCAGCGCAGGTTGTGAAGGGCAGCGTAGCGAAGGGACGTTCCTCGACCCTGTTTGCCAAATGCCTGCACACACACACAAAAAACATGCCATCACCTTCGTTTGCGAATTCCACCTAACTGGACAAAATTTGCAGCTTTTTTGAGAATGTAGACAATGTTTGGCTTGTTGCTGCTAATGCGACGAGCATCTCTTCTATTAGCAAGGGCACACTGGAAAGTGCGCGCTCGTGTGGATAAGTTATCCCTCGAAAGGGACCTCAGTAGCCTCCCTAGCACTGCGATGTCCATTTCTGCAGACTATTTTCTCTTAACATCGGGTAATGCACTGCGTAAATATAAATGTGTCGTTAACCCTGCCATCACCTCCCCACACAGCCAATCAGTAGGGTTTGTCACGTAAACAAAACGTGCCAGTTAGTTACTTGTTCAGCCCACCCTCGTGTTGGAGAGTAAATCCACAATATTTATGATTTGAGTACGACGTTTTAGCTGGTAATTACATCCTGCGTCATTGGCCAATTTTTGCCAGAATTGTTTACGTCACAAACCTTACTAATTGGCTGTGACAGGTGGTGGTGAGTTAACGACGCATTTATTCGTAAGCGATCTAACACAAAGAAACCTTTACTATGAATAATATTGGTCACGAAAGCCTACGTGTCAGACTAATTTACTGCAATACAAGACTCCCAAATGGACACTTGGTGTCTATATGCCAATAGCACGACTATAATTGGTAATAAAAAATAAATATTGACAAAAAAAATGGCATTTTCACTTAATTTGGTATATTACAGCTCTGAGGACTACAACCGTTTCGCAAAGCATGGAGAGTACCATACGGTGTTGGGTTATGAAACCCTATTGAGTTGACTTTAATTGTAGCTGCGTGATTTTATTTTTGCAGGGAAACGTGTTTGCACAAATAAATGCGCATACACGTAGGCTTTCGCGACCAATGTTACCATAATAGAGGTTTTTGGATTAGATCGCGTAAATATAAATGCGCCGTTAAAGCCGCCACCACCCGTCGAAACCAATTAGTACGGTTTGTCACGTAAACAGAACGTGCCAATTCGTTACTAGAACAGCACACCGGTGTGTTGGAGAGTAAACCCATAATATTTACAATGCCGGTGCCCTGACGTTTTGACAGTAATTACAACTAGCATCATCAGGCGACAGCCAGAGTTGTGGAGAAATCCTGTTTTGGCTGGATAAATGTGGTGTCGTCACTTGTGAGCCAATCACAATCAGGTGCAAAGGCCAGATGGAGGGGGGAAGGGGGTTATTGCATGCATATAAATTACAATGGATATCCGTACATACGTACTTATACGTGTATGAACACTGCTGATAACTTTGGCCTAAGTCCAGGCAGCCATTGGAGATCAAGCCTGGTTCTTCAGGTGACAGGGGGTAATGGTCTCAGCTCAGTTGCCACAAAAAATACCCGTTGTTTAAACGTAGGTCTTACTTGAGTGCATCTCCACTGTGAGGACCACATCTACGAATTTTCGAAAGTGACGGAAACCACTCGTCCTAATTGATGTGGCATGAAGAAGCCCTTTCTGGTGTTTTGTTACAGAAAGTTCCAGTTTCATCGACTCCAGCGGGAGTTCTGTTTCACCTTCCCGGGTCATTCCCCGACACACAATCTGTGGCAAATAGATTTTATCATCTCGTCAAATAATTCCAACAGTGCAATTGGGATTTATACATAAGTATGTTTGTATAAATATATTTATACTAGCCTTTTGCCCGTCCTAGGACGGAAGCTTTAATATTTACGAAAAAATTGAGCAGACTATAATTGTATCTTGTGTAAATTTAATGGCAGTGAATCTTGTACAAAACGATATCATCAAACACTTCACTGCATTTCATTGTAGCACTATATTAATGGCAGTGAGTATTGCACGAAACTATGTCATAAAACACCTCACTTCATGTCACTGTAGAACTGAATATAACTGACCTTCAATTTATTCAAATTCATTGCTCTGGTACTCTATTCTCTTCTGCTTTCAGTCGCTGGGATTGAAATTAATTGGAAATCGATACAATATCTGGAAAATCACGAGAAATGTCTATTTTACCATAATGTAGAACCATAAATTTGACTTACCTTTTGTCTCAAGTGCCGAAGAAATAAATAAAGACACCAAATACACTTTGTTGCTGCTTAGATATATATTTTAGATTCACTTTCAATAAAGAAACGTCAAACTTAAAGCGAATTTGCGAAAGAAAAAAAAATGTCTTTCCACTCGACCTTCTTCTGCGTGAGTGTAGCAATCCACCCGCTCATGAATATTAATGACGGGGGGGGGGGGGGTGTTATGTGGAGTGACGTCACGCGCGTTACACACCAACATACTTTTTTGGCGCATTATAGCAGTAATACATCTTATGCGAAATCTAAAACGATTTGGCAATAAGAGGTGATAATCTACATCAGCCACTGGTCAATCCACTGCTGGATGAAAGCCTCCCCAAAACCGCATCCATCTCTCATGATCCTATGAATATTTCCTTCTGTATTTCCACTCAAACTGTAATTAAGAATTATCACACTGCGTTAGCAGTGGTGAATAATCCCAAAAGCAAAACGTTTTTCGAATGTAGTTATTAACATTGACTTACAACTAGAATCTACAGTAGTATAGTATTCTGGGCAATGGCCATTTTTAACCCGCGCTGCTGCTGCTACCTTCCTCCTGTTTGGTTTGTGTTGCCTCTTAGCCGGTTTCCCGGGAGTACCATTACGGCCCAGGCTTCGGCTACGTCGTCGCTTTCCGGCCCAACGGCACGGTCACCTGGACGGAGACTCTCGTGCCGGACCCGGACTCGGCGCGTTACGTGCACCCCAACGCCAGCTCCTTGCCCTACATGCCCTTTTACGTCAAGGTTCGAGCCTTCAACCAGAACGGGGACGGGCCCTACAGTCACGTGGCCCTCGTCTACTCGGCCGAGGACGGTGAGTCAGCCGGCCGCTGCCCCACCCCGTTGCTCCCTTTGCGCACGAGGGCGGCAGGTTTGCGGCGCGGTGGCAGAACGCTCGCGACTCGCAGCGAGTAGGACCTGGGTTCGATTCCCGGACTCGGGCTCCTTCCCGCGTGGAGTTTGTGTGGCTCTCACAATGTCGTGCGTGGGTTACTAAACTGGTTGTTCGGTTTCTTCCCATAGCTAAGAACAAAAACGCTTTGTAACTGGTATTGGTCAAAACAGCAAAACGCTGAAAATTTACCAGCAGAATACTCACTTGGGATTACACATGGCAACATATCTCCCTCCTGTGAAAATATGTCCATGCTAACTCACGGTGTCCTCAGTAACCGTTCAACATTTACCAACAGTTCACGTCAATTGTTCGCTTGCGGTTATTCATTCATTAAAATTCTTATGCTTATGTTACACATATCAAATTTGCAGTTCAGAATCTTTAAATGACAATTAGTGCAATTTATATGCTAATATTGCATTTAGGTAATATTCTAAATGGAGTAGACAAAACTTTACAAGTAAGAAACAATTCAATATGACACCGTCAGAACTGGACAAAGAATCGTGACCCAGCATTGTGGGAGTGAATTAAATCACAATAGGGTGGTGAGTCGGTACACGCCTAGTTAAGCCTGTCAGAGCACTAAGCTTGTCCTAGAACCACCAAACAACTTGGTTCAAACCCAGGTTTCGGTCACCCGTCCTTAAACCGGCTTCTTAAGTGGAGCAAGTTGATGGGTGCAACCAGGTCTCGGTGTTGCCAGCTCAGTATTAATGTTAACAGTAGTTTAGGGCATTTAGTATTCACGCCTTTTTTTATAGCTCAGGGCTATCACACATTCTGCAGCAGTTTCAAAGTAGAGGGCGATGTTGCACGAGCAATATGTGTAATCCAATTGAGTCATTTGCAGATCATTTTTCAATTCTGGCATATTTGTACTATGACGCCAGCACGCAATGGGCCACTTTTTACGGTATCGTAATGTCCACTGTGAAGCAAATGGCGCGTAATTGACAATTAACCCTTTCCCGTTCCGAGATGTCTGCAAGTTGCAGAGTGGGTCCCGTTCACTGCTGGATCTCAGAATGCACAAGCGGCTCAGCGTAAATGTTACTTAGAGAGGCATAGTGCCGTTGTTTTAAAGACATTGTACTCACTGCATAGATCTGTAGCGACACGACCGCACTCTACAATAGCTGGCGGCAAACTGTGCCACACGCCCTACCGCATGGCCTTGTGGGAGCCTCAGTACTGATAAAGTTAATTTAGTTTTTCTTCCGGTTTCTTTTTGTTGATATACACGTACGTCATCGAAATTGGAAAGGGTTAATATACCTGCAGCAACAACCAGTTTATAGTAGCCCTGACACGGTCATTATGAACCGTCTGAAAACCACAGCGAGAGGTTCTGCGTCCGTGTGCGAACTCATGTTGTTGTTGTTGCTGCTGCGCTGTGCATTTCTCGCCGTGCGTCTGCGCTGAAGAGCCGACTCGGGCACCCGAGGGCGTGAACGTCAGGGGCACGTTGGCCTCCCAAATATCGCTGGCATGGGAGGAAGTGCCGCCTGAATCCTTCACCGGGAAGCTGCTGGGCTACGAGGTGAGGGAGAGCTCGCAAAACTCCCAGCTCATGCTTTCATGGAAAGACTCGACTAGAGCTAGGCTATACAATTATTGGAGTAATCCATTAGTTTTATGGTTGTTTAATTTGTATTTTTTTTTAAGCGATGTGTTTACTTTCCTATACTTTGCACTCCTGTCTTGTTTTTGTGTTGGTTGAGTGTTGTAATGTTCTCAACCGCTCCCTGAGCTTTATAGCTCATCGGATTCCTCCAGTATGAATAAATACTCTGATTCTGTTTACTCTTAATGACTACCGGTTGAATTACTCGACTAATAAGTTAATACGGAATGAATTGTGAACAGAAAAGTATCGCCGTTGTTCCCCAAAGTGTTGCTGAAAGGGAGGTGACAGGCAGGAATTGGTGATACCATCAGCGTCATCAGCCGCATCACACTGGGCATGGCTTGCAGGGGGTTTCCCACCTTCAGAAGGCAGGATGTGGGGGTGGCCACAATTTTTGACGGGGCTGGAGGAATCGACCTCAAAAAAAGATGTAGTCGATTATAATTCCTAGTTAATTGATTGACGCGGTCAACTAAATGTCCCAGCTCTCGATGCGACCCAATGAACAAACAGCTATTATTGCGATCATAGTTACTTCTGAGTGCACAGGAAACAGAATTACTGCCCTCAGACAATGCATGAGAGGATACAGCAATCACAAGTATGACCAGTTTCAGTCCTGGTCTACATTTTCCTTCTTTAAAATCGGCCTAGCAGAGTCCCAGCAATGGTTCAGAAAGCCCCCAATGGCCGAAAACTTAACTCCGGTTCAGAGTGCATTCAGCTAAGCACACTATGCCACCACTAACAGCATTTGCCTAAACAGTCCGTACGGCTTAACTTCATGTATTTGGTGTATATTCGGGTGTGTACAAGTGTTAGTGTACTGGTGTATTTGAAATTGTATGGGTGCTGACCTGTGATTGTGTCCTCACCCCCCACTTAACCGTCATCGTGGCAGATCCGCTACTGGAAGAAGGGCGAGGTGGAGGAGTCGGCGGATCACGTGAAGACGGAAGGAGACGACATCGCTGCACACGTGTCTGGCCTGCAGCCGTCCAGCACCTACCTACTCAACGTGCGCGCCTACAACGGAGCGGGCTCGGGGCCGCCCAGCGACACCGTTAACGCCACCACGCAGCCCTCGCGTACGCCGCTCGGCCCACACGATTTAGACTGGAGGCATCCGATGAGCTTTTAAGCTCTTTTTTTCACCGGTGTCCAGTAAGGGGGCAGCTTAGAAGGTTATAACAACGAATAATGCAAAAACAGGATAGGAGTGCAAAGTATAGAAAAGGTAAACAAATCTATACACAAATACAACTAATTTCTTTTTTTTATCTTAGCAGGTAAGGGCCACTGAGCTGTGAGCTTCTTTTTCAGAAGTGACGTGGCCACAAATGATAGCTCAATAAAGTGTCTTTTCACGTGGAAATTCATCGCGGCTAAATAATCAAAATAATCTTAAATGCGTGTTTCTAAATGTGGAGGGAAAAAATCGTAGGACCCGGAGAAAAAATCCACACAACCACGGGGAGAAATATGCAAATTCCAGATATTCAAGCATCAGGGGTGGGATCGAACCCCAGCCTCCTGCATGCCAGGCGGGGAAGATAACATCACACCACCCCTCAGCACACCACATGTAGCCCTGATTGCAGCCACATACCCAACACGAAGACTAACAAGAAGAATTCCTCCACCCATTCAGTCGGTTTATTCAGACATGGGGTGAGTGTGCTTTTCGTCAAAGACAGAGTGTGGCTGCATGCTCAAGCAAGCGTTGAGTCGGTCTTTATCCTGAACAGCAGTCTTGAGCAAGTGGTGGAACTTCTAGTTCCTGTCATTGAGGGAGATTACTGAATATTACATTTATTGTGGAATTTGTGTTTTGAACCCTGGATTGTTGTGGGTCGAGTGAGCCCCCCCCCCGTCAAACACTTGAACTTACTCTGTCCAGGTGACTACCTAGACTTGCACCCATTGCTGTCTCGGTGTCCGGACACATGTTCAAGTTTATTTTGTTTAATCAGGCAGGAACTTAAGGGAGCGACCAGGGACATTTTTCTGCTGCCAGTAGGGGGGAGATGATTGATATCTACAGTACATATGTTACAAATTGAGTAATTTCCAGGTATTTTTTTTTACTTGGCCAATTTAGACCCTGACGCCAGAATACAATAGCCTACAAAGTTCTAAATAGCCTGCTCCTGCAAATGACGTCAGGAGAGCTTTGACATCCACTGTGAAGAAGCCGGCATGACTTATTACGGTAACTACGCTGGAATTAATAATCGGAGCAGTCACTGGATTCAAACCATGAAGCTGCGCAATCAATATGTACCCAACACACTACCACTAGGCCACATCACCACCGATATAACAGTAGCAACCTGATGAAGTGATCCGGACACCAACCTTTCTGACCTTTTCAGCAGCATGCACTTCTCCTGTCCGTTGCGTTTTGTGGTTTCGTTCCAGCTCCTCAAGAAGTGCCGGTGATTAAGATGAAGAGCCAGCAGGAGTTGACCGTCGTCTTGGCCTGGAGTCCCATAAAAGCACACTCCAATGAGTCAACCCTGACTGGCTACAGGGTGAGTTGACACCTGGATCAAGAGGTTAACTACTTCGCCTGGTAGGCAGGAGGTCGTGGGTTCGATCCAGACCCTGACGCCTTTATATTTGGAGTTTGCTTGTTCTCGCTGTTGTCGCGTGGATTTTTTGTCGAGTCCTCCGGTTTTTCCCTCCACATTTAGAACCGTGACTTGAAGAGTATTTGGCTGCAATACATTTCCAGCGTGATAAGCCACTTTGTTGAGCTATCATTTGTGGCCAGGTCGCTTCTGAAAAAGAGCTGTATAGCTCAGTGGGCCTTACCTGATTAAAATAAAAATAGTTTATAGTATAGTTAGAACATTGAGGTTGCTTTACGCTTTACATTACATATGTGCTAAATCTCTGAAACATGTCAAATTAGTTTAATGCTTAAACAAGCAGAGGATAGGGCAGTGATCATCTCCTGCTCGCAGCGATGGTAATTTCACATTCCTATCGCCGGGGAGAGTTAAATCTGTGGAACAGCCACTGTTGGCATATCACACATGTGTACTCATCCTGTGGCAGTGGCTCTTAACCTGGGGTGCACGCACACCCTGGGGGTGCGAGACATGGCCAGATCTTTTTACGAGATAAAGCATCGAAACACAAATGAAGCACTGGCCCGTAATTGCAACGATTTAGTTTCATCGAACCTATGCATTTGTTAACGTAAACAAATGTAACGATTGTGAACCAAAGGGGTGCACGGCTGCAGTGAAAGTTAGAACCACCCTCACTCTATAGACGCCAGAGGTACGAAGGGCGGAGTCAACCGTGAACTGAGACTTCAACTGTGGCGGCCTTCTGATCGCGAGCCGCATATTGGCAGCTGGACCGTTTGTTATAGCCATGTTGTACCTAAGCTGTTGACAGCTGGGACCGTTTGTTATAGCCATGTTGTACTAAACTGTTGGCAGCTGGACAGTTTAAATCATCGCAGTCTTTTAATCGCTGGGCGTGGTGACACCGCCTGCAATCTGGCACAAAGGCAATGTATGTTTGTTGCTTACAGAGACTTGTGTAAGGGAGTAGTACACCAAGTCGAGTGTGACCTATCAAATTGTATCTTTTTTCATCGTATTCAGAGGTTAGTTGTTCCCTGATTTAAAAGAAAACTCAAAATTATCTATTTGAGCAGTTTTATATTCATATTACTTTTCAATTTGTTCATTTCAAATTTTCAGGTGCCAGTCGTGTAGTCAAGCTTCATGACTTAGATTTTTCAAGGTGAATCATTTGCATAAGGGGTGGCATTGGTGTCATGCAAATGACGGCTTTGACTGGAAGAGCCAGCATTGCTTGTGTGTGTGCCTTTACAGTGCACTGAAGCAGTAGCGGTTTGCACACTGCACTGTGAGTTCAGTATTCTGAGTCTGGCGTAAAATAGGTCAATTCATCCTTAAATAAGTATCTAGCACGATGTGTAAACACTGGCACCGGGGAGACAAAGGCAGCCGGGCGTGGTGATGACCACACCACCCCCACGTGCACCATACCAGCCTTTACAGGTGACAATCGTTAACAGCTCTCGCCCCAAGAGTCTGTGAAGGCTATCCGGGGGACCTTTTGTCTGTTTGTGCTCGCTGCCACTACGCAGGTCGTGTATTGGTCCATGAACCAGCGGCCGATCGAGCGTCACGACTTCATAACCCAGGAGACGACGGTGCCTCTCAAGGTCAAGGTGGCGGGCGACTACATGGTGGAGACTCGGGCGATGAGCGTCGGCGGGGAAGGGCCACCCGGACGCTTCAACTTTCTCCATCACGGATGGTGAGCTTGCACCTTCCCATGGACCCCCCCCCCTTCTCCCCTCTTGTACGTACATATATATGTTGGACTTATTTTGCACCGTACGTAGTCAACAGTGCTAATCGGGAGTTGTGCGGGGGAAGGACAACAAACTAAACGCAAAAAGCAGTTCTCAAGCAATGAATTTTCAATTTCGATTTAAAAGTGCATAGCTCCAGTGGCTCTCAGCACTCCTTCTCCCCCTTCCTCTTATTAGCATCACACCCACCCCTCCCGCTCTTCTCATGCATGATCATCTCTCCACTGGTCGCCCCCAAAGCGAGAGGAGCTCTAAATAATTGGATACGAGGCAAAGGCGTCAGCCACTGGTAGAGGCAGCAAATTCAACTTTGCACACTCCCAATTGCAGAGCGTAGAATCTGGTTGACCATCTTTGCGCCAGCGTACCGCTGCCAACAAAGTCGTCTATCACCTCCTCGCCCGCACCGGCAGTAAACAAGCAGCACAAACAATACGTGCGCAAAGATCTCACCGCAAACCCTAAGGAGCCCACCAACAAAACCCCCACGTTCTGGCATCCACACTCGAGGGAAGAGGTCGTTGACACACCGCGGGCCACGAAGGTCAGAAAATGACAAGATTTATCCTGAATCCCTTAAGAACTTGGGACCTGTCGGCCTAGAGTGGCTAAGCGGCCTTGTTTCCCGACGTCCATTTAAGCGGCACAATTCCGAGAGCCTGGAAGGGAGAAAAGGGCATTGCCCTGCTGAAATCTAAAAAAACAGAAGATTGGGCCTGAAATTACAGGCGTATCTCACTGCTATCGACGGCGCACAAGTTGATGGAGTGAACAATGGTCGCACGCGTCGCGCCCACAGTCGAGCCACACCTACCCGTCAAACAAGCCGGCCTTCGACCTGCCAGAAGCTGCTGTTAGCAGGTCCTTTCCCTCAGCAGATACATCGAAGCTGGATTTCAGCGAAAGCAAAACAATCGGCATCACCACAAAAGACCTCTCGTCCGCCTAATGACACCGTCTGGAGACATGGGCTCCTTCTGAAGGCATTGCATAAAACCAACTGGGAAAAAATCCGAGGAAGCACAGGCCCTTCCGTTCCACCAAAAACCCGCTCAACCCCCCATGAACTTATCTGAGGTCCCGGTCACCTATCTGGGATCGCTACACAAGACACTCAGATTAAGCAGGGGTCCACTGACGACCTCTGGCAAATTCCGTGGATTTCTGCAGAGGTTCCTAATCAAAGCCTCATTGAGGGCCCCACCACTGCGCCACACCTCCCATTAGCATGGTTGGCTATGTACAGTGCGAAAGAAGTTCAACATATATAAGCACGGCTTTGTTCTGGAAAGAAAACTGTGGTGGCTCCATCAACCGCTTCAGGAAAGTGACCGCTCGCAGCTCCACACACCTCTTCCATGAGTGGGAAATTAGAAATGATGACCCACAGCATGTGGCAGCCACCCAAACCAAACAATGGACCATATCACAAACAACTGCATTCTGCACGCCCCGCTCTCTGGCTACTCCAAAAGCTATCACATGGCTCACAAACGAAAACATGGATGTATTATTTACACGAATATGCCATTCACTAGAAGATGAAGAAGGACCGCAGGCAAGGTCAAGAGGTAATTTGGGCCACTGCTGTTGATGCCACCATATCGCCATCACTTTGTTTCTTCCTTCTGATAAACCCCGTGACTGTTTCGCTGTTGAGACCCCACCTTCATTTTCCACTATTACGTGTCGCGCCACTACGGCCTGCCATTATTTCTATTTCCTTTGGTTGCTGACCTCTGGACGAATGCTAGATGTGTCTTGATAAACCTGCCCTTAAGGCTCAATTAGGTACATGTCTCTCTCACCCATTGGAACCTTCTCTTCTCAATTATATATAACTCCTTTGTTGTCATCTTATTCTGACCTTCCAAGTCTGTTACACTATTCTGTCATGAAATGTTTAGAATCCTCAATTATCAATTGCACAGCTAAACATATGATGATGATGATGGTAGTAATTATGGTATTGAACATTTTATTTTTCAGTTGAAAGAAGGATCAATCAGGAAACCAAATCGCAAGTTCAAGGTTTGTTTGATCGCATTGATGCCTTTCGCCAATCATGCTGTTATCAACTATTCTGCAACATGACCTACTGTTCACTTTACGTTCCACTCGTGTAGCCATGCGTCAGTCCGTGCTCACACACATGTGTTCGATTGTAAAATAGTAAATAATATCAATACTTATAATGCCAATCACTTAACTCATAAAAGCAGCCACACCATATAGCCCACTGAAGCAAAATTGAACTTAAATTATTCTTGGTGCAGAGCACCTTTAACATGAGGCCACGGGTTAACCTGCTTAACTCACAATCATTACTTGGCCCACCTTCACTCTGAAATCAGGAAATGAGAACCACTTGTGGGAACGTCAACAGTGGTGGTCCTATGAATATACCAACCCCTTCAATGGGACTGTGGAATTTCCACTACGAGCTCAGGGCTACCAAATAGCAATGGACACTGACCCATTCTCGTTTGAGCATGGAGACACTTAACTCGGGTTAGAAGTGTGACAATACTATTAAAGCCAGCAGTTATCAACTCAACGTGAATGTGTCTCTATGCGTTGACATTGGTCTTGCCTCTTTTGTTTTCTGCTCTTCAGAAGCGAATCCCGGTGGAGGAGGACAAGTGGCTGCAGCATCTTTCTGGGGAGCCTTGATGGCTTGTGCCATTCCTCTCCTCTCCTCCGCCCTCCTGCTGGGATCTTCGTGAAGACATCCCCTGAACACCCCCCCCCCCCCCCCCCCCCACAACATCTCCCTCTCCCGCACCCCCTACAGCATCTCCCTCTCAGTTTCTCCATCGTCCCTGTAACCCCCACCAACGTTCTCACCCTCCCTGTCATTCCATCGTCTCCCGCTCCTCCTTCGCACGCCGCACTTTCAACGCACACGCTCGCCCACACTAACCCAGATACAAAGCGCACGCTCGCCCACACTAACCCATATACAACGTGCACGCTCACCCACACTAACCCAGATACAACGCACACGCTCGCCCACACTAACCCAGATACAACGCACACGCTCGCCCACACTAACCCAGATACAACGCGCACGCTCGCCCACACTAACCCAGATACAACGCACACGCTCGCCCACACTAACCCAGATACAACGCACACGCTCGCCCACACTAACCCAGATACAACGCGCACGCTCGCCCACACTAACCCAGATACAACGCGCACGCTCGCCCACACTAACCCATATACAACGTGCACGCTCGCCCACACTAACCCAGATACAAAGCGCACGCTCGCCCACACTAACCCAGATACAACGTGCACGCTCACCCACAGCAGCCCGTTCCCCTCGCACCTCCGATTAACCCGGTTGGCTACGTACGGTGCGAAAGAAGTTCAACAACGATACAGCACGTGCAACACACAGACAAGAGTCCTCTGTTCCGCTGTTGTTTTGTACCCTTGTGGTTCGAGTGTTGTTCGCGAGCACCTATTTAGTCTGGCACGGCACACAAGAAGTGGTGTGGCCTAGAGCACATCCACGCCCAGCTACTGTTGTCTCCCCAGTGCTAATGCGCATGACCACACTGCACCAGGTATTCAATGTGAGCTGGGTTAACCTCACGGATGCTGAGGGCAGGTTCAGATAGAACTTGCCACTGGTGTTTTTATTAGGGCCAGGAATCGATTATATGAAGGGAACACACAAAAAGATATGTGCCTGTCCATATTTCTGGGACAGGGTCGATCACCCTGTGGATAGTCAACGCAAGCCTGCTTCCTGCATATCGGCTTGGTAGTTATTGTGTATGCGATAATGATTCAATCGCCTACTTTGGAGAGAAAGATAACTTCTTATACAGTGCGAGCAAGGTAGTCTCCGTACTCTCCGTGTTCAACTGAGATTTGATCGTCCCCACCTCTATTGACAGTCCAGATGGAATTTCCACATTCATGCGGCTTTTTTCCACATGTAAGGAGCCAGTTGCTCCACAGAACACAACCACTTTTGAATTCCCACAAAGTTTCCAAGTGGTGCCGATTCTACTGACCCACCAGGACTCGTGACAACGTTGATGACATCCCAGCCATGTGTATATGCATTATTGTACAAGGACGCTTACATATTTTAAATAGATAGATATCCGTGTGTGTGTGTGTGTGTGCGTTTGTTCACAACACATAGTCATCAGGTCTGGAACATGGGTAGGCATATAATCCGGTTTGCTTACCAGAAGGGCAGGCTGTCTTGGAACATCATATCGATGGCTACATATAAATCCACATGCGCACACACACTCCGACACCCGTGCCACAACAACACCCAAGAGGACACAATTTAAATTTGCCACGATAAAAATTTGCCACAAAGCGGTACACATTTTACGCAGCCTGGCGGGATGATGAGCCCGAAGGTTGACTCGCGACCGAGATTTAAACTTGCAATCACCTGGCATGAGACGATTGTCTCTGCCGCAACGCCAATCTCGCTCCTCCGTGTGGAGTGTGGCCGTTTGCTCACGTCGCCGTGCAGACCGACTCAATGTTTGACGCACTGACCGCCTGGCTATGTACAGCACCACACACTAATTTGCATTCGTTTCCATGCCACACTGGGGGAGGAGTGGATGCCATTGTCTATAGATGTGCCCGTGTCTCGGTAGGCGTCACCACGCCGGTTGCTTTAATCCTGGGGAGGTTTCTGCACTCTCTAATAAAGCTACCGTGTGTATGTATTGCTTCATGTGCTCGTGAAAATTAAACCTATATTCACAGGCTTTGCATAATTCTTATGCAGAACATTTGCACCACTTTGAACTTTCTTCAAGCCGCATGTTTTGAAAGAAGACCCCATATACAATTTATATATATGTACTGTAATTACATACACTGTACATAGCTGTGCCAGTGCAGTATGTCATAATTACAGTATGTTCATATTGAAATAATTGAATGCAAATTACGTTTAATTCAGCATTCCAGGTCATTGTGTCCCAGTTGCATTTGTTTTGGCAAGCCATATCTTAGGTGAGTTTTAACATCGAATATCATTTATTTTTTATTTTTACTAGGCAAGGCCCACTGAGATATACAGCTTTTTTTTCAGAAGCGACCTGGCCACAAATGTGATAAGTGGCTTATCACGTGGAATGTTTTTAAAGTGGAGGGAAAAACCGGAGGACCCGGTGAAAAATCCACGCGACCAGGCAGAGAGACACGCAAACTCCAAATATATATGAGTAAGGGTGGGAATCGAACCCACGACCTCCTGTATATCAGGCGAGGTCGTTAATATCTCGCGAGGTGTGTCCTTTTCCTCATTGGAATCTTTGATTTTAATGTGTTGCCAAATTAGTCACATACAACAAGATAGCAACATTGTGCTAAGCTTACAAATTCATGCTCTACCAATCAAGGTCTAACTCTCCAGGTGGCTCTGAGCACGGCTCATTCACAACTCACAATTGGCTGCATTCACAATTGGCTGCCGATTAATCACGCCACCTTAATCTCTCCCGTTGGAGGCGAACCACTCCGAAATTGCTGTAATAACGTAAACGCTGTGTCGGCCGGGCGTACAGGTACGCTCATTTTCAAAGAGAAACTCCCTCTGCATATCCGAGGCGAAAATTTGAGTTCTGCAAGTTAACCGCACCTTCACCCAGCTTTGGCCCCTATCTGTCTTCTGATGAAGGACATTCTGTATTATTGAGATGGCATGGACTAGAGTCCATGTGGATTGTGTTCCCTCATGTGCAATCTTAGTTTTAATTGTAGCAATTTCCACGGCTCTCGTTTGGCATGCGTGACAACAACACTGGGCCCAGTGAACTTCTAAATCTTAACACGTTAAATTGCCTTGCGTAATATTTTTGACATCAGACACATTCTGGCACTATGAACTCTGAAAAACTCTGAAAAATGTTGCTAAAACTAAAGCCAACCCGCTGTTATTGGTCCAGGACACATTTCGGACAACACATTTTTCATACAAAATGTTGCCCTGTCTTTATAAAAAAAATATATAACTGCATTTAGAGAACCACTGTCGGACATTGTTCATTCTTGCATTTTGTTGTTTTTTTGTTTATTTTTCCAGTGTTTGGTTTGAGCTTTGCTTATGTCATGTATATCAGTCACTAATAATTATATTTGTGTGCAGCATAAAAGATTCACAAGACATTTTCAGAGACGTCTAACACCAGACACACTGACAACATTTGCCTTTAACTTGGCAGTACTATCAAAATATTTCCTCACTATATATGCAGTATATAATGTAAGGATTTGCTTTAACTCATTTCCAGTAAATGATTTTAGGTAGGGTTTTTAACTGTGGATAAATACCTGGGTACGGTGCACGGACTAGATTGATTTTTAATATGCTGCATAACACTGATAAGAATCGAAGTGGGAGTTTTTATTTTCACTTGCGTTTATACTTTTTTAACATTACCACGTGTCTGTGAAGACACAAAGTGTGATCACAAAGTAAGCGGTCTGACACAGAAACAATGTGTGAGCTTAATGAAACTGACTTTACTGGATAGCTCCTTCTCAAAGTTGTCCATCTTTTCCAAGGCTCCAGTTGTCTTGCCTTTTAAGTAATTCGCTCTCAGTTACACGTCCTCTGAATTGTCGACAGAAAATTGCTTCCATGCAAAGTGACTCAATGTGGAAACGTGGATGTCACTGAGAGAAACCAGGTCTGGAATATGATTTCGTCGAGATTTATCTGAATAAAATGTAAATTATTATTTTCTCCGGACTTTTCTGGGTTTTCAGATTTTGTCAGACCCATGGACTTTTTAATCACCCTTTTGTGTTTGTAAAATTTTAGTAGAAAATGTCGCTTTAGGATTTGTACATTGTTTTCTGAACATGTTCCTGTAGGTAGCTTTGCAATGTTCCACTTGCTCAAACGATATATGATCGGCTATGTGTATTGCCATGCGCAGTCTGTAAAGAAAATAGGTTAAGTGAGTAGACGGATGGCGTCTGTTTAAGCCACTGTTTTATTCGGAAGGGAGCATGATCTGATCGAGCAATGCCGTGGCTACGCGTGCTTACAAACATGGGTTGTTGTGAAGTGTCTTTCAGAAAGTGAGTATAGCACACAAATCAATGTTGGAAACAGAGGAATGAGTTCCACGTGAAAGATGTCGTTTTAATATTATCCTGTGCAGGAAAGTAGTGCTGTGACCCTGGATACAGCTGAACGCTTTAGTGTATCGCTTACTAATACTAGGCTCTTAAATGTGTGATTTTTGTTTGTGTATTGCTCACGTTAAAACGACGTAGCTTTTTTTCTTCCAGTGCGCTGTAAAAATGCAACGCCTAAAGTTGCTTGCATTGTTATCGAATGCACTTTCATTGCCTGTTAATACGTTTTTAAATGTTGCTGACCATTCAAAAACACACATTAGGAACACTGTAATACTCGGGAATGGTTTCAACATTTAAAGATTGTTGTTGGCGGGAAGTGGTTAGAAATATGTTACCTTATAGAAAGTGTGTATGTTCTGAACAGGAATTGTTTAATAACTTCAGGCCAGATTAAGGGCATTCATTACTTTCATTTATCATGTATTATACAGTAAAATATGTATTTATGTAACGAAGTCCTTGATGAGGAACTTTCATACCGAAACGATGCCCTAATCCCTTACCATTGCTGAGTAAATTAATGCTCTCCGTTTACTCATGAACAGTGATACAGAAATGCTTGCAGGAATGTACCACCACTTTGATAAACAGGAATTAGAACTGGATTTGGAAAACGGCGTACAGTCAACTTATTGAAATTAACTAATGTACCTTGACGGTGCAAGTCACCACAACATGCTACGCGAAACATGATGAAAATAATTTATTACAATAAATCAAAGTGGGTTTACCGCGGTATAAAGTTACCCACTCGGTAAAAAGCACAGGACATCTGGGAAAAAAATAATCGGAGCATGTTTGTTTCTTTGTTTGCATGTTTTGCCCCAAGTACTGTATGTGTGTGGTTAATATAGACTTGATGCCTTGCAATAGGCGTCTATTTGGTCTTTGAACATCTTGACACCTGTTTTATTTGACATAAAAGATCAAGCCTAGTCTTATGTGTTTTTTCTATCATCATTTTGATACTGCCAAAAAGGTCCCATAGATATCGTACAATTTAAAGCATCGGGCTGTGTCGGGTTTCGCATTTGTACTGTCGTGGCTGCTTTGAAATGTTGTACAAATCTTTGAAATGTTGTACAATGCTTTGAAATGATGTCCAATTCTTTGAAATGTTGTACAATGCTTTGAAATGATGTACAATGCCGTGCGACCCTCAGATGCAGCGGAGAGCGACAAAGGGAAGGGCATTTTCCAGTTTGACTTCCACCACCGGAGCTCCTTCGTGTGCACGAGCAAACCTCGTTGTGAGATGAAGTTGCGAACTCTGAACTGCGTTGGAACAACACCGTCTGCTGAAGGCGGCCGTTATTTCATGCGTCTATGTTCATAGCGCTCAAATAATAATTTGTTAATTATAATGAATGTCGCTATAAAACTGGAAAATGCCTTTACGATGTTTTTTTCCAAAATTACGGATTGTCGCATCAATTCACCTGCCCTTCCAAACTAGAATTCTCCCAAATACGTCAGAACTGAATGTATTTACATATCTTGAGCATTTCATCATTGTTAATATTACTGTTATTGTAGGAATGATGCTGGCCTGATTTCGGAAGGGATTGTCTCGGCTTGCTGGTTTTTTTTTTCGTCAGTGCTTTTGTCTCATAGAACTTGATTGTCTTGAGATGTTACAGACATGTCGCCTCTAAAATGAGTTTCCTTATGCTTAATGTCTGCAATATAATGTCACAAAAAGTGCGCGTCTGTTTTCATTGTGCATTTTTTAAGTTGTCTTTCAGAAAAAAATACCACACTCAATAGAACACTAATTCACTTTCACATCGAGGTTACCGAGCACAGGCCAAAAAGCCCAAAGTGCCGAGTGGCCAGCAACCAACAGTACTCTTCACGGTGTGGTCGATGAGGATTTTATGGTTTGTTGAATTTCGCAAAGTAAATACGACCTTCGAGAAGAAAAAAAAGAGACCGTGGAATGGAATTCCAAAGTCGAGCGGTGCAATGAAAAAAAGGCAGTGGTTTGAGTTGCAGTGCAGTGGGCTCTGAACATGATTTGGGTGATACTCTAAAAAAAATTCGGTAAAGTTACATAGGACCGTGGAAATTACAATTGAAGACGGAGACTTGTGTTGCCTCCGAAGCGTCGTGATTTATAATTATTTTATTATATTATAATTTTTTACCTACGTGACTTTACTGAAAAAAACCTAATCGTATCGAATCCTTGCAGTCACGAAAGCTTCAAATCTAGAATTATGGTTTGGATGACTTGAAACAGTCGAGTAGACGGAGTCCTTCACATCGGTGGAGGATTCAAAGAGTGAATTTCCTGGGAGCAAAATCCATGGTAGTAGCGATAGCAGAGTGATAGGGAGGTGACTGACCGCTGGCGAGCGAGTTACTGGAGTGAATCGGTGAATGCTGGACCATCAGTCAACCCGACTGCTTTACGTTGAAATCTGATCAACTTCCAGTGAGATAGTCACTGGGTGTTCCACCCCAGATGACAATGGCATTTTCACCTTTGGCCAAATTTGTGTTTTGTAAAGCAGTAATTTTTCAGTCGAGTTAAATCAGGATCAATTATAAACCAATACAGCGCTTTATTGTAATTGAATACATGTTTGCCTCTTTTAACAAAGCAAGGGGAGGTTTGTGGACATCTGTAAACCAGGAAATTGGAAGCAGAGTTTAAGATCGAGGAGAGATGGAACCTGTTTTTGTTTGACCCATTTTGAGGGGAACATATGTGATCAAGACGCAAGAGACAGTGTGGAGCGTGAGTGTTGCCCCTCTTGCTTGCTCAACAGAGGGCGATCTGTGCTCACACAAAGACACCCGTATAACTTTACCAGACTGTTGAGGCAAGTGCTGTTAGCGAGCAACTATGATGGTCGGCTCGGTACACGAGTGGGTGGGTGGGTGGCCAGCACCACGCCCGACCACCTTTGTCTACCGCAGTGGCGATGTTTACACATCACACCATGTACTCATTTGAGTCTGAGTCGACCTAGGCGAGGCCCAGGACCAGCTGTTATATTAGTCTTCATATTCTTAGGTTTTTTCGGTAAAGTCTTTACCGAAAAAACCTAAGAATATGAATCCTTGCAGTCACGAAAGCTTCAAATCTAGAACTTATATTAGTCGCCGGTGTTCACAGAGGTGTACATATACAGCACATGGCGTATACGAGACATACATAGGCACACCACCCCCGTGCTGTGATACTGAGCCCTCATTTCCCAATCGGAAGGTGGCGAGGACAAATCTCAGCTGGGGATAAATTATGCGAAATCAACAATAGTGGAGAGAGCTGGATTCTACCATCAGAATGTGGGATTTCCACCTCTGGATCAGCTGTTCGGGGTGTGTCTGGGATGTCGAGTGTGACGCTGGCTGCACGTGAAAGGCAAGATGAGCAAGCCTGAGAGGCAACTGGCACCTGCAACCGGTTAGTTTATTAAGCGTTTGAGCGAGCGGTAATGTAATGGGTAACGTATGGTGGCATCATCGGTGGCTTTGGTCACCATGGCATCTCGAGTTTGCCTTCAGAAGTTGGCAATGGAAATGGGCACACCCCATGCAATTAGATTTTTACACGGACCCATCAGACTCTGAACGTCACGTGTCCATGTGCATTGTTTATGGACCTACTAGTGTTACAAAAAATCCGATTAAATAACCAACAACGCTCGAAATGAACAGTGAACGAGACGGCCAGAAAGCACACTCAGCACTTGAAGAAAGGGAAAACCATTAGCAAGTATGAGCTAAAATAAATTTATTTTCATTTGAAACACTTCATGGGTGTCACACATGCTACTATGGACCGCCGGGTTACTTTAAAACTAAAGTATTGTTTTATTTTGATGTTAAAATACTGTGCCATCGATGGGATGCTACGTAGCTGTACTAAAAGGTACAAGATAGAAATAACAATTTTCTTGCCATAAGCTTTGCTTTTTTCAAAAACGTTTCCATTTTAAATGTATATATATTATCTGCCCTACAAGAACCATTCATTACCACTCCATCTCAACATTCTTCATAAATACGTTGGGTTTTCGGTCTTAGGTTGTGTAATGTTCTACGACTCGAGGAAATGTGCCAACAATAAATATAGGCAGGCGTACACATGTGAGCGATTGCATGCACACTTAGAATAACAGCGTTTGTTTACTACACAGTAATTATCATACCTGTCAACCCATACGCTTTATCCGTATTCTTGTACAGGGAAATTGAGTCTTTCAGGTTCATATGGCGTACAGCCGTTTCAACACGGGCAAAACACACTTGTTTTGTCATGTGTTTGTGCTTCTCCCTTGTGATGGGACTTTGTAGGATGTACGCTGAGATTTATAAGGGCACGGGGTGACCAATGAGGTCTGAATTGGTCTGTAATAAGGTAGGGGCTGACAGGTATGAATTATGAAGAAGTTTGTCGGTGCTCGAGCAATCAATCGCAGCTCTTAATTTTGGGTGCAGGCAGTTGTGGGATTGTCCAACGAAAGAGTGCGGACAAAATTCAGCACAGCGTGGCACTGCGAGCAAGCGCCGTGCTCCGACACTTGCTTACATTGGCTGTTTTGAGTCATGCCCCCAGGGAGTCGGCAACCAAAATAACAAAGAGACTTTTTTTGGTTCGAATTCGGTAAACAAAAAAAAAACTCATTATTTCAAAAGCCGAGATGCAATGTGAATACGAGACGGGTGATGGTCCTTAATAAATAACGTCACGAGGCCAGTCGTTAAAGAGCCGCACGCCACTGTGGTGTCGCGTTTTTGCAGATCGTTGTTCAATGTCGACCAACCCAGCCTTGCAGTGGACATGCAGATTTATTCTGCAACATTAGCCTTGATGCACAATTTTCACTTTATTTGTTATTTATATTTATTTGCAAGAGGCAAGTCAATTCATACGTGCGGAGTTTGTTCTTATGTGACACGTCGAACAAAGACGGTCACCGCATCGCGCGCTTTCAGACGCGCTTCTGCGGCCGTCTGGAACGCTCTTCCTTCGGATATTAGGAAGCCACTAGAGTTATGCACTTTTAAATAATCTGAATTGACAACTAATTTATTTAGACCTGCTTGTTTCGTTTAGTTTGTCGTTCCCCCCGCACCTGCGATGGCTACATACTGTGCGAAATGCGTTCTACATACATACGTCAGTTTAATGCCACAACGCAGCAGAACCCAGGGCCGCTCAGGGGGGCTGGTTCAAACAGGGGCAATGTACCCAGCACTCGCACATAGGGCACCACAACAGCCCTGCCGATGTGGAATTGAGGAGAATCCATCACGTGAAATTCTGCACCGGGTCCCCAGCAACCTCTGAGGAGTGGCCCTGGCTGAACCTTCCCCCCTGTCCCTCGTTAACATTGACTCCTCAACAGGGATAGGATTGTGGGATTGTCAGCATTGGCGCAGGGTCACGGAGATGAGACGTAGCCACACACTTGTTCACCACTTGGCCTTTTTTTAAAGCATTGCACCAAAGTGTTTTACTTTTAAATGAGGAACATTCATTTAAGCGATATATCTAGCACCAAACTTTAGCAACCATTTTGGTCTGGCCGAGTAGTAATGCGCTGATAATGCTTTACTCACAATCAAAAGTTTGAGAGTTCAGCGATTCATCCCTCCATGGACTTTAAAATAAGAACCACTTTGCGTGAAATTAACAGCGATAATTCGTCCTACAGGGAGACTGGCAACTGTTTGTGGGAGTGGAGGAAATTCCACCACTGGTTCGGGGAGGCCAGAGGAGATGGTTGGTGTGGTATCTCTCATATGAAAATGGAGACATTGGAACGTTTGAGTGGTCCCCGTTGAGGATTTTCCTGCGCGAATAGAAAACACTGACCCCTCATGTGACCAACGCCTTTCAGCGCTCTTCCTTCATTAAACCTTCGAAAGACAAGTGTCAGCAAAGTGTCAGCAAAATGCACAGAACTAGCAGCCTGCTGATAACTGGGCATGTAACAATACAGTCACCCTAACCCAGCGACACCATTTGAAGTCACCTTTGGATTGAATAATTGATAATTATTAGTCTTTCATGTATACCAGCTTCTTTGCATGATTGTGTGTTCTTTGTTATCCATACCGATTTATTCCACCCCGTTTGCTTAAATTAATAATTTGAATATTTACATATAATTTGCATACATTGTAAAATCTCAATTCCCACAGCCAATTTGTATTACTGTATAGCGAGTGTAGCGAGGTACAATATTTTAATCGAATAATACATAGATACCAATCTGACAAGTTTAGCTTCATCAACAAATCAATAAATCCTTCCATCTGCATACCCACTCAATATTCACTCTCACCTCCAACGATGAGAGCAGCCTATGTATGTATGTTGAACTTATTTAGCACAGTACATAGCCAAAAGTGCTAGACCCGGTTTGTCAATGCATATTAATGACTGCATTGATATAATTTATGTCTATTTTTTATTTTCGTCCCAATGAAACTATATTGCAGTCATACTGCAGGCATTCAATCCACAGTATCACTGCATCACCAAGAATACCCCTCTCTGCGATAGACAAGCGGGGTCTAGGCTGCTCTAATGTCGGAGATGAGAGTTAATATTGAGAAGATCACAGGTGGAAGCATTTTATTGATTTGTTGCTTAAGCTGCGATGGTGGGCAAAACCTTTTAATTCGAACCCAGGCTGTGAGAAGTGCTAGGTTAGCAATTGTTATATTTTATAAACAAATTT